TCTTTGATGCAACTGACATTTGCTCAGCATCAGCTGCCAGGTCTCACTCTGACCGGAGGTTAAACAACAATCACTTTGTTGCTGTCTAATGTGACGGGCAGCAGCAGCAGCAGGAGTTAGAGCGGGATCAAAAAGGATTTATTCTATAGTTGCTGGTGTTCCTGTTATTTGTTTGCTGGTTCGGTTTATGAACTGTGTCTTGTTTCCTAGGAAAGCACGGGCACAAAGTTCTGACATTAACTGAAATTGAAAACTGTTGTCCACTTTTGTCTTGTCTCAATTTCTGGCATGTACAATTTTTAATAGCTCGCAACTGAGCGTCCTAGCTCTTTGCGGTCGGTTCGCCTGTCTGTCTTCATCCGGTTGCCTGTCAGTGGACTTATCCTTATAGTCGTGTGGTTTTAGTTCTTTACTTTTGCCAACGTTATGAGAAATACTTGACGTTGAGAGAGTGCCTGGCCAACGAACATTTGATTGTTATCCAGGCCATGGAAAAGCCGCCCTGCACCCACAAAGTGCTGCATAATTACAAAACCACCTTCCCAAGTCTGCGTCTGCTTTTAGAACGTGCTTTGCATATTTCAAAATATGTCAATTGTATACGATATATGCATTTTGTTGTTGAAGCTGTCCAGTGAAATGTGCAGACATATTCTAAATAATTCACAGCTTATTGATAGGTTTTGCGGCAACTGCACTGCACAGCTTTACAATATTGCACTTAACATCAATATAACCACAATCTGCTCCAAATCTCGCACTTTCAATAGAAAATCAATTCAACTGGTTGGCAGGCCAAAGTCCAGTTGGCTTAATGGACAAACATTTGGACAAAGTCTATGGCTTTTAACGCATTACTCATATGTCCCCTCCCCCCCTCAATCATTGCACGCATTGACCCACAAATGCGCTGTGTTTCCTTTGGCCAACTGAAGAGGACGTCGGGGATTGATGTGCAAACAACGTGCCGTTGATTTCAATTTCAATTGCCAGCCCATATGCAATCATATAAACAATTGCGGAGTAAATGCTGCAGAAATATTTACTTTATGGCTTACGCTTGAGCGGTGTGCTTTTTGAATTATAAAAGCATACTTGAGTCTTAAGGATTTCACAATAAATAAATGTCTATTCAGAATATACTATTGACTGCGTTTATATCCCTTCAATAGTCAACGTCAACGGCAATTTAACATATAAAATGAATAAAAAATGCTAAGAATTATCTGTTAATTAACTTTGATGCGCTCTACTTATTTCCATTGCATCAAATATGTCTATATTGAAGCATACACTTATGTTCAACATTATGTATCGACAGTGTAGAGCATTTTTCGATGCAATCTGTCTAACTAGCTCTTATTGTTTGATCAACAGCCTGTCAGTCAATAACACAGTCAGTCAGTTTGTCAGTCAGCCATTCAGGACAAACAGTTTTATATATATAGAGATAATATTTGAGAGTGTGCTCTAAGAGTTACTTGTGTCACATGTCGAATGCAGATTATTTGCAATGACATTTTGTATGCTCTATTATAAATTTTAGATACACGCATACATTTCTATATATTTCTATATTTACTACAAACTTAATAAGTGTGTTGATATCAGAGACTGCAGGGTATCAGTAGCTTACTTAAATATTTTTTTAATATTTTACTGATAACAGGATATCTTCCAGTCTCTTATACTAGACCACAGTATTCTAACATGTTTTAATTTAATTTTACTGCTCACACATGCAATTTTTCACAAAAAGTTAACTTTGTTGTTGTACTCGTTGCTGTTGTTGTTGTTTTTGTATTGTGGTTCGGCTTGAAACGACGCCGTTGGCATATAAATGAACAGAAAAGAGAATCTATAGCATTTAGTTCAGTTCCACGAGTCATTGGCAATGCAATTTTGCAACATTCAGCTAAAGGGGAAATGAGTTTGAGCATAGACGCGACGCGAGGGATGGAGGGACTAGTTCGTTCGTTCGTTTCGTTTCGTTTAATTAAAAAACCAATTTGAGCTGCGACTGCGACTGATGGCAGCGACTGGGCCAAAATGACTCGCAATAATCAAATAAAAAAGAAGTGGAATAAAAAATAAATACAAACGATGCTAAACAAACAAATGGTTGAAAAATGTATGAGGCAAAGGCAAAAGGCTGGGCGGTAGGCTTTGGGTTCAACTCGTTGAACCGCACTCCATATGTCAGCTGCAGCAGCGAGCGTTTTTGGTTTTCAAACATTTTGCCAAGTGCGCAGTTTCCTTGAACGGAAAGAATAAACTTTTCTTAGGTGCGCCTGTCCTCCGCGGAAGGTAGGCAACACAATTTGATCACAACAAAATGTCGTTATTGAAACGTCAATATACTTGTGTGTGTGTGTGTGTTTATTTGTGTGTGTGTGTGTGTGTGTGTGTGTGGCCACCTGTGCGTGTGCATGCTAAGGGTTGGCCCACGGTGCTGAGAGCCGTATGAAGGCAAGGCCTTTCATCGATTTTCTTAAGCGGCAAAAGTTTTGCCTCAAATGCTTTCGATACACAGCGGCAAACCTGCGAAACCCACTCATGCAACAACTGCGGCCAACAACAACAACTAAAACAACCGACGACAATTGCACAACAACAACAAATAAACAAATAACAACAACAATAACAACCCCAAATGTTTTGTGTTCTACGTTCTCTGCCCCAAAATCTACTCCAAAGCGATAAATTCCCGGCGTTTTTACGAGCTTAGCTCGGAATGCAGGCAAAACGCAAAGAAAGCAAAAACAGTGAGAATAATTCTGGGGAAAATTTCCATACACTCCAAGAAAAAGGGGTCAATTAACAAGACTCAAAGAAAAGAAAGAAAAAATATCTATAAATTTGTTCTTTAAAATAAATTTAAAAAAATCAAAATTCTTCTAGATGTTTAAACTAAATTGTAATTAACTAATTTACAGAAACTAAAAAAGTCCAAACATTTTTAAATTACATTTACGCTTTTAATTGACAACATAATATTAATGCTTTGGCTCTAAATTATTTATTCAATGCAAAGAATAGCTTGGGCAAACTATTTTAATTAATTGTAAAGGTTTTTTTTCTTCAAAAGATGTAAATAATATATACATTTGTTCATAATGTATGTTATTTTCCCATTAAAATAATAAAAATAAAAATATATTTAAAGTAATAAATTATTATATATATAATTTAATAACCAAAACTAATGAAAGAAGTCACTAAAACCATTTATCTTATTTTAATCTTTAGCCTTTTAATATTATCTAACAGGGATGAAAATGACAGTTTTTATATTAATAATATTATTATTGCAGAGGTGTTTTTATATTTTAAATGAAACATGATAAGTTCCTGTTTAGTCTTGAGATGAATTCTAATATAATGATCACTTGACATGCTTTTGCGTTTTTGTTTTTCAATATATCTGCAATATTTCCATACATTTTTATAGAGAGAGAGAGCATTTAGCATGTATGTTTGTGCCTTAACTTTTCTCCCAGTGTATTAACACACCCCCACAAAGTGCTGGGGTAGTTTTGCTGGCTTTCGCCCGCTCGTCTAACGTCTAACGCAATTTAAGCTCTACAAAATTGGTGGCATTTCAACGCATTTCGATGCGTGCCACCGAATGTTTTTTTGGTGGTGGCATGCGGGTGATGGGTAGTGGGTGGGTTTAACATTTTGTTTGCTTTATTTCAATTTTTTTGTTATGATGGGAACAACTTAAATTAAATTTATATGAATATTTACAGTACAACTTATGCTACTGTTAAGTCTAACACAAAAAATTAACAAGGGTAGGGTGTTTGTATAAACCGATCTGAGAGATCGATTGGGTGAAACCTCCGCAATCTTCTCCGCATTCGGACTTCTCTAATTATACGTTTCCTTAGAAGGCGCCTAGCCAGGCGATTTGGATGATTTCCAAGCCGCGTAATATAATTCGCAGCCTGTATATTTATCCCCGACTTTGGGCACTCCTAGGTCTCCTTCCAAATCGGAAGTTCGCATGTACCAGGGGGCACCAGACAGCTTGCGGAGCGTTTTTAATTGTAACAAACTGATTTTCGCAAGACGGAATACTTGGATTCCGATGGCCTTAATGTTGGACTCAACCCCATCGAGCACTACCGAAAATGATCGGTATGTTAAGTAGCTTCGCACAATCAAATAAAGTTGAGGTGGCAACAAGGGCTTGATTTTGCAGAGTAGTCCGTCATGCCAGACTCTGTCGATGGCTTGTTTTATGTCCAAGTACGCTTCCGCTACGTATTCATTGGCTTCGAAACCCTCGAGGATGAAATTCACAAACCTATTTTGTTGTTCTGGTGTACCATGAGATTGTCGGAACCCAAACTGAAAGGGGGGAATTTTTTGTTGAATTCTTTCAATGGACATCAGGTCGAAGAGTTTGTCAATTGTGGGCAACAGACTAATTGGTCTGTAAGAGTCTAAGGACGAGGGGCTTTTTCCAGCTTTATAGATCATGCATATCCTTGCCTTTTTCCACGGTACATACCTCAATACAGCAATAAAGATTAGTACTAAAAATAGGACTGCACTGACCGGCATTGCTTTAAGTGTTATGTTGTCAATCCCATCATCGCCAGGAGCTATGAGGTCTGAGGCTTCGTTGACTGTGATTGGAGCAACTGGGGGGCTTAACTACCTGGGCTCTCCAGTGTAAGTTAAACCCTTCTGTTCATGTTTGCTGAGCTTGTATTAAAGGCTTGAAGCGTTCCTCTAAGTCTTCGGCGAATGTATCAGCACGTTCCCTTGGAGATCTGATCCCAGATCCGTCAGGCTTTCTGATCGGAAATTTGGGAGTCACTTGCTGTTTATACCTTTATATTTAAACCAATAAATGTTTTAAAAACAACGAATTGTAGAGAAACTTAGTAAGCCTGTTATAAAGTTTCAGTTTTAGTTATAGTTTAGAGACTAAGTTGCACATTGTGCATGTTAATTGCTGTTCTAGTTATTATTTAACAAAAAAAAAAAAAAAAAAAAAACTAAAACTAAAACTTTGTTGAGATCATGTTTGAGAACAGCGTAAAATCCGAAACGTCAGAGGCATCTGCGGTGATTCGTCCTCCGCGTTTTGTACGGCGGAACTTACCCACCGGCTCTGATAAAACTAATCGGGTCTTTCGCTCAATAGATGATTCCAAATTCGATATACCCACGATTGACACCCGGTTACGTTATGGTGATTTGTATATGCGCAACCCGAAAGATAGAATACATATAAAGCCATACGATGGGTGGGACGACAAGCCATACAAACCGAAAATACCACAATTTATATCCAGAGAGCCAAGTTTTACCACCTTCAAAGTGCCTTTGTAAGTAGTGCATTATGCCTTTCTTGTGGCGCGCTATTAATATATAATAAAAATGTATATCTATACCCCAGTCAGATGTTTTGTAAGGAGCGCTATAATAATTTCATCAAAAAATACGAAGGCCAGTTCGGTCATGAGATCAGAAGTCTAATCGATAATCAGCCAACGGCTCGTGAGGCCACCTATTTAGTACGGTATTGGCATGCCACTGCCCTATAATTATCGTCCATTAATTTTTAAATATTTAATTATCGTTTTAGTATTTTGGCTTATACTACTTTATGGCCGCCATATCACAATGAAAGTGAACTGAATCATACGAGCCACAATTTCTATCCCTTGACGCCGAAGGAGAACGCACGCTTTAAGTACATCATGACACACGATTTCTCATAGAACTGAAAATTGACTGAGTAATTCTGATAGTCTGATAGGAACTGGATATAACGACAGCAAAATTATATCGATGTAAATAGTTGCCGTGTAATCTGATAAACAGAATAAAACAATCAGTTTCAGCATTCATTATAGTTTGTTTAGGATCGCATGCTGGATCGCAGCTCTACAGCTGGCATTGAACAAAATATTTAACAATTGGGGATAAGAAGGAATCTTGGGATGACAATGACTTAAGATTTCATATATGCAGAATAAATGTTTTAGGAATTGTTTCGAGGCACATTTGTATAGCTTGCGCCGTAGGGCGAATTGTATATTGCCATTGGTATGCGGCAGAATGTGGTAAGGTTATTGTACACTCAGCGAAATATTGTATTGTATTTTTACAATTATACTTTCTATAATGGCTTCGCTTTTGGTTAGCGGCGAGTGCATTTGCAAAAATGACAAAGTGGACACAAACCGCAGCATAAATTCCAGCAAGGCGATCTGCATAAACAGTTTCCGTTTCCGGGCAAACACATTTACATAGCAAGCCACTTGTCAACGCAGGGGGCATGGGTTGGTGTTGGGGTGTCGGCTTTAGAGCATTTTCAGCGCGACCGCCGTGCCAGTCTTTTACAATTAATATTAACCCTAAATGCTGATTACCGCCACGCAGTACAAAACATGTTGGACAGCCACCTACAAGTTGCGGAAGTTGCCATACACAAATAAATAAAATAATTTCCATCTTGTAGTTTCCTTTTGGTCTCACAAAAATGATTTAAAAACATACCTCTCAGGAAAAAAAATGAAATAAATATAAGGTGAGGCAGTGGGAAAGTAAGTGGTGGGTAACGGTTAGTTGTTAGTGTTGGTAAACGAGTGCAACGGTTTTGATTTTGCCCGCTCTTTTGTTAATTTTATGTACTCGCAATTTATTCGCTTTTATTTACCCCCCTTTTTTTTGACACAATTTAATTGCGCTAATAAATTTTTTAGCTGCATTCACATAAAATTAATTTTGTATTTTATTATTTAGTGGGTAATTTCGGGACTAACACTGGCTATATAATAAATCATATTTATTGTGTGGCTGACCCACTTTAAGGTTAACTCTTTTGTACTGCAAATTGTAAAACTTGGCGTGCCCCAAAAAGTAGGCAATACTATTTTTCAGTACAGCTTCCTCACGTCTGCGGCTGCTGGAAATTGAAAACCGTCGCCGTGCGAGACACGTATTAGCTCGGCACATGTGTAAATCCAATTCAAAACATGCCACGTGCTTCCCACCCCCCACCGCATCACAGTGCAACTTGTGCTGATGCTGCAGCAATGCACAAAATTGTTTATTTTTTTTTTCCTATTTCTTTGCGCTGTTGCAAAATACGTTTAACAGCTGAACCACGTTCAGATGAGAGCTGGCTGCTTGCCTTGATGGGCTGGTGGCTGTGGTGCGACGGGCCGACGCTGGCATTTGTCACGCGCCCCAAAACAAACTTTGCACACCCCGTCCCACATTGAGGGGGTTGTTTTGTGTTTGATTTGGGGGCAGAGAATCAGCTGCAGCTGCATTCCGCAGTGCACAAAAATATTTGCTACAAAATGCAGCCGTCGGTCGAGTTATGCAAATAAAGAGAACGCTGCAGGAAATGTGCAAGTCATGGACCCATTTTAAATGGGTCCTCCAACAACAGCCATAACTGGCAAATAAATATATAAATATAAATATGAATTTACAAAGGGAAAATTGACAGCGACTGGTGGCTGCCTACCTGCCACTCAGCGTTGCATGCAACCGCTGTGACAAAAAGGCGCGCCCCAACTGTATTTGGGCAATTCTCTATGCAGCAGCAGCAGAAGCGAACAATATTTGTGATTGCTTTGTTCCTCGCCCGCTTCATTTAACTTCAAAAAGACACAGCTTGATGTGGACTGAGTGTGCGGGGGGGATTGGTGCGGGAAATTGAAGTGGAAGCCATACACAGATGGTGCATAAAAACGGGCTGCTCCCATTTAAATTAGCATGAGTGGACTTCAGCCACTTGAGGGCAAAATGCCAAAAGTAATGTTGGGTGCTGTGTGGCCCCTTCGAAGGCAGCTAAGGAGTCGGCCCGGGTGTATTCATGCCGCCTTCTCAAATGCAGCTCAAGTGCCATTTAGCATATTTTGGTGGCATGTGAAGTGGCTATGTAGCAGGCGGATTATGCGGTGCGGCTGCGGTTGCGTTTGCTTGTGTCTGATCGGGAGGCGGGATGAAGTTGAATAAAGTCGAAAGTCGTGGCCACAATGCACGCGTGAACTGTGCTGAAAGCAGATAAATGCAGCTAAGTAAAGTTTTTTATTTGCATCAAGACGCGCATACAAAAAAGATAACGTCAAAGGTAGAAGAGTTTCGAGTGCCGAATGTTAAACACCCTCACAAACCAAGAAACCCAGCAAAACATATCAAACTTTAATGAATCTAATGAATTAACTCAGGCCTAAATCAATTTACTTTTTGAGAGATATATAATATATTATCTATAATAATATATATGTAAATTTTTTATTTGAATAAATTAAAGAATAAAAAAGAAATGGAGGCGGCTTAGCTTTTCGCTCGGATTGTGAATAACATAATGAGCTGAAAATTGTTTTTCTTAGAGTGTCGGCAAACATATAAAAACTGTTCAACATATGCGGCATAACAGAAAATGAGAAATATAAAAAAGTAAGCGTATCCATTTGCTTGTTTATTTCGTGGTACGAAAAGCGCATTTTTATTTAACGCCATGAGTCAGAAGGACTAAGAGACGTTCATGTTACGTTAAAGTCGTGCGAACGCGACAAATTTGCCAAAAGATGGGGATAAACGTTGCCGAGCTGGAAATGGATGGGGAGGAGTGCGTCTCAAAAACAAAGCAAATGCCCCAAGGGGGCGAAAAGAAATGTAAGCATCTGCATTTATGACTTTTGCGGCAGGCTAATCTGATGCTGAGCATGTCAGGACATCAGCAGCAGCCACCCCTCGATGCGACAAAGCAGAACTTGGAGCCAAGGACTCACAGCACATGGCCTGTGCCGTAGATGTCGTCAGGGCGAGAGACAAACAAACATGTAAAGATTGTAATTAACATAAAATTAATATCAACATGTAAGAGGAAGTTCTGGGCAGAGCTGAACTGGGAATAGGGAACGGGCAAGCAGTCGACTGTTAGCTGGCCTCTTGTCGGAGCTCAAGACTGCACAATTACCAGTACACACACATGGATATGTCCTTGTCTGCCGCCACCCAACTATGTATGTGTGTGTATGTGGGGTGAGGGGAGCGGGGAGGCTGCTGTTGCTCTTGATTATATGTAGCTTATCGTGTATCCTGAGCAATACAAGCAGCTCACTCGGATGCTCTGTTGAGCTGCTGTCGAAAATACAAATAATGTGTACCATTTCTTGAGCTTTTATATTATGTTTACACTCAGGTGTATTTCTAAAACAAAGCTTAGCTTTCCCTTTTATATAAAGTACACAAATATTCACAGAAATTTCCCAAGTATTCCATTTTATTTTCTTTTCAGATTCTTACAAATAACGAGACCGTTAATTGTTACAATATTTCTGCAAAGTTCTATCAACAGAATAATATTTAATATTGCTTTCATAGAACACAACTGAGCAGAGCCGATTTCTAGTAAATAAATATTATTTGATTTTCCAAGCAAATGTTTTTAATTTCGCAAAGCTGTCAGCTTTAAATTACAAAATCATTTGCAACATTCAGTTCAATTATATCCATTTCGTGAAATTTCGCTTTAATATAAATCTGTTTGAATATTGCTTGAATATTTAGCTGGGGCGAGCCTTACAGATTCATTTACAAAACTACGTTAATTATAATGTTATTTTTACCAAAAAAAAACTATTAGATTGTTATTCTATTATATTTTGCTGTATTCTGCAATATCAATTTTATTTACATTTTCAAAATTTTACTTGTTGGTTTTTAATTACATGCGTAACAAGTTTACATGACGAGCAACAAATGAAGGCGAAGGCGGGAGCTCATTTGGCCAGCCGGCTGTTAGGCGGCTTGTTAAACAAAATGTAACGTTTTGTAACAAAAACCCTTGTTAACGGTTTGCGGCTATTTGTTGCCTTGCGGCAAATCCCGGCCGGAACACGCAACGCTTGTTGCCTACCTGGCTGCCATCAACGTTGGTCCCTGCCTATAATTTTGCATGTTGCGGCTTAAAGGCGAGACGCATCTATGGCACATGCACATTATCAGTTTGTGTGTGTGTGTGTGTGTGTTTGTTTATCCGACAGCAGTCGCTCCCGCGGGACTCCATTTGCTTTGTTGCCTGTCACGCCTTAATTATGCACCAACTGCAACTGCAACAGCAGCAGCAAATGCCACATTAAGGTCCGTCTGGGGCAACGCCTCTGTCAATTGATTTATAGCTGCATTAAAGCTCCCTTTGTTAATTTTAATTTTTATTTAAGTTACACTTTATGCTTAAAACTAATGTGTATATATCGTGTTGGTGTATTCGGATTTGGACAACTTTCTGCTTGCGAAAATTGTTAAAATATCAATAAATTTAGTGTAAAAGGAAATGTATGTAACGACCCCTGCCATAGACCCCGAATTGGTTTCTTGAAAATGTTAGCTAAGAAAAAATTGAATGTAAATTACATTGGTCCTAAAGAGGCTGCTTGGTCTTTTCGTACCATCTAAGTTTCGATAGTATGTGTATCGTGTGTCGTCTATAGCGCCAGTTACATATATAGCTCCACGATTATTTGTTAACTCGTATAGGGCAACCTTAACGTTCAGCTGAAACTCATACTGAAAATTTTTCTCGCCATCTGGAGATCGGATGTGTTAATCAGCCGTCGTTGTGGATCTACAGACGGTGTACTGTCCAAACCGAAGCAAAACATAAATCACCAAGTCAATTAAATTTTCTTAAACATTATGCACTTACGTTTTAGAAGAATTCAAAATTGTCATATATTTTCTTTCGCACTTACAATTTTGATGTGCTTTGTACGAGCACGAGTGTGAGAATGAACTTAATTTTTGGCTGTGCTCTGGCATGTGTAAAACTTGGATGACAGCAATTTCAGATCCTACTGCAATAAGTTAATAAACATTTTTTTAAACTTGTTTTATTGCAAGGTGAAAACACTTAGTCTACAGCCGACGTCATTTGTAACGAAAACCTTTTGAAATATATGCGAAATTTCAAAGACTGCTAAGTCATTTTTAATTAAAAGTTTTTAAGTGCGTTAAATTGTGTTAGGTTTCTTATGTAGTTCCTTTAAATTCTAAATTATATGGGTTGCCTTTGTGATGGGAAATTATTAGAGGATGAAATTAAAAATGAGGTTGTTATGAAAGGAGATAAAACTTATGGTTGCCTGCGAGGTAGAACATAGTGTCGCCTGGAAGATAGAGTTGCTATAGCAATAGACATTTTAATGCTAACAAGACCAGCATGCAATTATCCTGAAATTCTCGGCCTTTCATTTTGCCTTGAATGGTAAAAAGGCTATAGCAAAGTGCTTATTCTTATATGGCTATATAATATATTCCATTATTTTTAAATTAACTAATGTACTAGAAATATAAACAACACATGTGTAGCTGTTAAAATATTTTCCATTTTCTTTATTTAATTTCCTTACTATTTCTCATTCCAGTTTACAAAATAGCTAATCAGAGGGACACTGTGCACATATATAGAGAAAATCAATTTATATTCAGTGCTAAAAATGCGACAGCAATCAACAAACGCTGGGCGCTTTAATGAAGCATATCAGCGAGCAAATAATATCGTCTACAACAATACCAATGGCAATAACAAGAATATATACAACAATTGGAACAACAATGAGCATCACTTAAGCAAATAGAAAATCAGCTTGCAAAATCAATACAAAATCAATACAAATAGCTGAGAAATTTACTGTCAACATTTTTTTTGCCAGAGGAGAAGAAAAACAAAAACGTGAGATACGATAAACAAAGGGACAAGGCAAACAAACTCCATTTCAAATGGGCGGCAAGAACGGAGTCAGTGGTAATGGCGGCGGCGGCGGAGGTGCCGGTGGCGGTGGCGGAAGCGGCAATGGACCCGGCGGTGGCAGTCTGAACTCTAGCGTCTGCAACTCGGTGCTGACAAATGCAACCGCAGCTAGCAACAGTCTCAGCCAGCAGCAGCAGCAGCTTCAGGCCAAGTATATCAAGTCCAAACGCCATCAGAGTCGTTATACCAATCTACAGCATTCTGGTCACGATTCCAGCAGCTATCTGCATCTTAATTCGCTCTGGTCTATATGGTATGGTGTGCTACTGACACTTTTCCAAGGCTATTTAGCCATGCACGGCGCCTACAGGTTCCTCGGTAAGTTCACAAAAATAGTCTTTGAACGTATTTCAATTATAATTTATTTAATATATTTTAAATGATTTTGACCTTGGTCTTGTGCTTTAATTAAAATACAGCTTATCACTCTCCTCAAGAAGTCGTTAACACAATTTCATATGAACACAAAATAGTTATGAAACGTAGATAAAGATAGATATTAAAGAAGATATAGAGGGTTAGATAACAGAAATTGATCAAAATGTTTTTATTATTTTAATCTATGCTAATCCGGAAAATTCGAAACCAAGTTCCATTTTCTTCATGCTAATTAACATTTATGTAATCTTTAATTTTAACATTAAAGCTGCTGCAAAGCCGCCATTTTCCGATGCTTGAATTTGCCTGCCCTTAACAGCTTCATTTAATTTGCGGCTGTTATGCCACCATTTAGCAGCTGTTAGCAATTTGGCTAACATTTTATCATGCTGTTAAGTGTCTAAATAAATGTTATAATCAACTGTCTTTGATTTTTATTGCTTACAGGCTGCTCGTTAATACCCTGGAAAATCGAGCCCGTTGCTGAGCTAAATCTGCAGATTGTGCTCTCCGGGGTGGTGTTTATTCTGCTGCCCGTATTCTTTACATCGGCGGTATTTAAGGTGAGTGGCTCTGTAAAATAAATTGGGGCTTAACTTGATTTGGGATCGCGAAATAAACGCTGCGGCTGTGTGGGAATATAACAGACGCCCGATGAACGATAATACAATTATGCCCAGCATTCCGCACTGGCAATGCCTGTCTACACTGTCTCGTATCCCTCGTGTGCGTATAAACTATTTTTAGTGGCATTATTTTTGTTATTAAATTCATTTGCAAACAAACAAGGCATACGCTCGAGCTCCTGGACAGTTACCCTGTCCAGCTTCTGACTCGTGGTGCGCCTCAAAATGGCTGCCAATGTAGAGAATGCAGCACACGCAGACAGGCACACACATTGATACAATTGAGTTTGTTATCCAGACACACACTCGCATACAGTGTGGGTCTGTGTCGTTCATGTCCCTGCTTTTATCAGCATAATAAATGCAATTATGGCTTTTTCATTGTCTATCTCAGTCTGACACTTAGCTCGCCCTCTCTTTCTAGCTCTAGCGAGTGCATGGTGTTTTATTTATTGTCTATCTGAAGTGCATGGCAGACGATGGCAAAAGCTCGATAGAAAAATACAATAACTTGTAAACGAGTTTATATACCCTGCATAAATAAGGGACTAAGTGGAGTATAGTCCCGTTGTGGATGTGTATGACAATGCCAACAGCGGCAACCCAATTTGTGTTTATACTTCTATAGAGCACATGTCCAAGAGCAAGCATTGAAACTCTAGATAATGTCGAAATAAATTCATGTATTATGTTTGATATATAACAATTTTATTTTACTTGTTCTTTTTAAAAATATTTTATCGCTCGCAGACGCGTTTTTCTCGGGGACACGAACGCATTTCGCCTGGGAGATATGTTTCCAATGATATCTCGACATTTCGAATTTTGAAGAATCCCATAAAAAAAAGTTGAAATTAATTTGTTACCAGATACAATTTTGTAAGGGCCATTGTGTGTTATTTTTTCTTTTTCCAGAAAACAGTATATAAAATTCGATAGCACTCGAGTTAAGTAGCGCGCATTTGTTCTCTGTTGAGGATCTCATGCGTTTTATACCGGAAAAGCCACTTAAAGTGGCTGAGTAAATGCGCTGGAAAGTGCAGAGAAAGCACATGGTGTATGATATGTTGTGTGGGTGTAGGGTGTATGCGGAGACAGTGTCCTCTGTCACTTTCTGTTAGATTGTGTTGTAGCCACGCTGCTAGCCTGCGGGCCATCACAAATAATTTGCTTGTTTTAAGCCAACTTAAAAGCTAAAAAACTGGGGGCAAAACAACAGAAACTACTATCCACAGCAGATTATTCAGCATTCAGTCAGGCAATGAGGTCATGAAATTGGTTGCTCATGATTTGTCTGAAAATGAAAATGTTAAATAGAACTATTCCGGGCGCCAACCAAAAGCTGGCTATCAGTCACAGCACAGCAGTTGGCACAAATCAAAGAGCAGTGGGAAAATAGGAAACGGGTTGGTCACATCATACGGCAGCGATTTAATAAAGCCGACAGCAAAGGCCAATTCCGTGATGAAAGCCAACATTGGTCATTGACGCGTGGCTATCAGAGCATTGGCAGGACACACAGGCGCAAAAAGAGGCACGGGAAACGGTTGCAGCAGGAAATGCATCTGCACTATAGACAATTATTGTGAATTCATAGTTTTTGTTTAGTTTTTACCATTCAAAGCACGATGTCAGGAGTCATGAGTCAAAGTGGCAGAAATTGCGTTTGTGTTATGGCTAGATATCAGTTAAAGGCTGCAGGACTACAGTCAGTTTCGAATAGGAAAAACAAACGAGCTGGCAATGTTTTAGCTTAAAGAAGAACACCTGCACAACCGCTTTATTGTGGGACATTACACATTTTATATGGCTTTGTCAGGGCTGAATGCCTTTGCTAAAAGTTTTGCTTAGCACAGATAAATATAAAGTTAATCTAGCTCTTAAATAATTGACAGTTGCAAATTTCATATTCCTGTCAAAGCTAACAGCCACCCCCACATGTTGTACAATTGAATTTCAAAATATAATTTAACTAAGTATAATCGTTGTTGTGCTGTTTGCTGTCTGATTCATTCATTAAAATTTCAGCAGTCTTGTTTCTTCTTCTTTACTTTTCTGTGCTGTTTAAGAATATTGTCGTCTAAAATATTTGGTTAGCTGATGTTATTAAAAATTAACAGGAGATGATTTTACTTATGCTCTTTTCAACATTCTAAGTTTTTCGGCTGAGTCTATAATATTCATTAATATAGTGAAAGGCACAATCGAAATCAAAGTGCCAATTCGATATATTTTGTGTCATCAGATTATCGTCTAATCCATCGTTTAAATGAGAACTCCTCTCACAGATGTGATTATAGACTGCAGTTTGGATATATGTGAAATTGATGCAATTTTTCTGAATGTTTTTAATTTTCACTTTTTATATTATGTATTTAATCTGCTTGTATTATAATCACCGTAAGCAAAGCACTATAAGCCACATATAATTTTAGAGAAATGTGACTCCTGCTAGCTTTGTTATGCAAACTTCTTAGGGTGAAGTCTGAATAGTCCAGCGAGGAGTTGGCCGCCTTGATCCAGTCAGTAAAGTTAGAGATATTTGTATATACGCCTGGAAAAAACATGCGTCCACAGTCCACGCCCCAAGAGATAATGCCCGTAAGGTTGCCGCCACAAACGAGTGGGCCGCCGGAGTCACCTTTGCAGGCATCGATGCCGCCCCGCAGCCAGCCGGCGCACATCTGCGTTTGCGGCAGAAAGAAATAGATGATGGAGCAGACATTTTGGGGCACAACGGGCACTATCGCCTGACGCAGCTGTTTGTACTTATTGCCCCAGCCGCTGATGAGGCAAAGGGTGCCTTGATTTGCTGGCGTCTCGGCGAGGGGCAACGGACGAATGGTTAGACATTTGCGTGGTATAAGACCATTCAGAAACACCAGCGCAATATCGTTCTCAAGCGTGGGATAGTAGTACTTATCATGTCCGATGATCTCCTGCACCAAATACACCTGTGTAAAGGTGTCTTGCTCATTTAGATTGCTTCCACCGGCGACGACCACATAGTTCTCAGAGCCTCTGTATTGCACCGGTATAGTACCATTTCTGAGAATAACATGGTAAGGATATTGATAGTTATTTGGCTTGATTGTACCCACTCGGCAAAGCAATGGGCCGCCGAGCAAACCACACGCTCTGTTATCAAAGCCCCACCGCAAATGTGACCCAGGCCGAACTCTTTCTCATGAAAGTAACGTACACGAATTGAGACAATATATGGGACATGCTCAACAGTTATTGGATAGCCCCCTACTATCTTGGCATGGGTCTCCACGCTCTCTGCACAAGCACATTGAATATATAAGCATCAGTTTATTCTGAAATTTTGAAAACTCACGCTGGGCAGCAGCAGCTAGTGTGAGGCACACCAAAGCGATTGTCAGACCTTGGCTAATGAACATTTCTTACTATCCGTCGTATGGCACTGCCCGATAAACCAATTTGATGATACATTGATGTTGCGTATTTGTTAAATGCTAAAAAAGAAGTTATACGAAAATGAAATATTCCAAATTTGTAAAAATATCTTTTGCTCTAAAATTTAGACTTTAAAATTATGTTGAGATTTCGTTTTTCAATTTGACAACAAATCGAAATCGAGAGGAAAGTAATAAACATTTAAAATGTTTTTGGCTTTAGTAGAGAATTTTGTAAATATTTGTAGTAAGCGAATTGGGCTATGACGTCTAAAGAGATAAATGGTTTACAAAGTAGTCAAAATGTTTTGAAAATGCACAGTTGAGCAAGAAGATGATTTATTCAGCCACTCGATTATGGCTTATTGTATTTTCCCTTTCGCTTCTGAAAATAGTATTAGTTAGTACTGAAAATTATTAATACCTGCGCTTCTACAGAGACACATAAGGAGTCCGACTCTTTAAGAAAAATCGAATACAAAACAACTATCAATCTATATAGTTTTTACTGTCGAGATAGTGCCACTTTATTTGTCAGACCTTTTAAGGCTTTACAGATCGGCCCGCTTCTGATCTATCAGGACTTTATGCAGCGTAGCTGTCTGGAAATCTTGGATATTCGTGCTTTTAAATTAAGATTTTGCTTAAGAGTTCGATTCGGATTTGACAATCCATTTTGAATCCGCAAAGTTTGATCGGAATCGAAATCTAGAAAAGTCCGTATTCATGTAATAATTAAAGTATATTTAAAAAATGTATATATAATTGTAATTGCACACTCCCGGTTAACGTTTTAAAAAGCTGTATATTGTATATATTTTACAAAGTGCCAGCATTGTAATGCTTACAATAATGGAAACAGTTTTTATACTTGTGCATTAACGACTCCGCGAAAACTTTTTAGTTCAAATGAACCTTCAGCTAGTTCATTTTGTTTGCGAGAAATAAAACTAAAAGCCGCCGTCAGCCACAGCACATGAGCATAGTAACAAAGTGGGTTGCCGATTTTGGCAGGGGTAATACGCACCCATTTGTTTATTGAGGTGGCTGCCTTAGGGCTGACAACCCCCTCTACCCCCTCTACCGACTTGTCCCCGCCGTCCGCCACCACATCCGCTGTGTTTGTGGCAAATACAGAGCGTGGGGGCTGCTGCTGCTTTAGCTGGCCACGGGAATTGCACGGGGACTGCCAACCGCGAAATGTCGGCACGTTTAAATGTATTATCTCGTTGGCTAAATGGGCGCGCATTTGCCGTCTCACTCGCACATCAACACACACACACACACACACTGCTGCACAGCTGCAACTGCAGCTCCTTGCTGTGTGCGTGTGCACTTCAACTGCGTTTCGCTTTTTGCAAATTGCAATCATTGTTGTTGCTTCACGGCAAACATAACGAAACGAAACGAATCCAAACCAAACCAAACAAACAAAAAAAAAAATAATATAAAGAAAAAGCGGACCGAGTTCCATTCTCTAATGTTGTGTCTCTTCTCTCGCTGCAATTCCATGAAGTCTGCTTGTTTTTAATTTAAAAGCCCAACAGCGCCCATTTATTTATATGCTGCACGTGATTTTTATGTTTCCCGTACATACATATATGTGAATCTACACGCCGTATATATAAATATTTCATTTAACCATTTGTCACGTGCATTTTTTATGCGCCAACGCGTCGTATGCGCGATATTTTGCGCATAAAAAATGGAAATCCAAAGCACTCGCAATACCGTTTGCTTTGTTGTAAACGCAGCATTTTATTTAATATTTTATTTTCATGGTTTTGCATAGTTTTTTACGTATTTTATTTTATTAATTGCACGTCACGCTGAGATAGTTCGGATTCAGTAAATGGAGCTCTCTGGAGATGTATGTGGTTTTTAGTGTATCCGCATGGGGATTTCAATTGGTCGGGATATTTTTTGTTTGTTTCTTTGTCATAAAAAGCTTTCATTTTATTTATGGTTTGCTTCATATACAAATGCAAAAGAATCAAAGCAAATAAAAAGAGATTAAAATATATGAACAATTAAAGTAACAAAATTAGTAAATGCATGCAATGATCAAAGTGATTCGAATGCCCGTACATACTCATCCTCTACATATTTATCATAACCTGATTGCGCCTCCTGACCTATTCTTATTTATCTGTATATATATAAACAATTGGTAAAAACACGCACGATTACTTTAATTGCCATCCATTAGCAGGAGGGATAAAGCCTTTTATAAATACACGTCACTGAACGAACAAAAGGTTCAGAGAGTCGAAAAGCAAGAGGAAGGGATAATAATTCAGTGCAATAATAATAGTAAGCATTAAGGCCAACACAGCTTGTTAATATAACAGATACAATTAAAGCATTAACAGCTGTGAGTCTTACTTGAATTAATGAGAATCGTAAGGTGATATTAAAAAAACGTGCTATTTTTTAATTGCTGCTCAATTGAGGTAGTTATCATAAAAGTGTTTGGTTTAAGGGAAAAAAAATACATTTTCTGAAAAGTGCGAAATATGTGTGAAATGAATTTTGGTTGATGATTAATCGGCAAGTGATTTTAAGACTTTATTTAGATGGTAGACACTTGAGAACTGTCTTTAAACTAGGTCAATTTTGTTGCTTCGATTTGCGCTTGAGCTGTGATAGATATTTATTTTGCCCGATTGGCCCGCACTCAGATGGACTTAAAACCTTTGTCTGAGTTTAGATATAAAGTTTAAAGTCTTCAGCCTCACTTGCATTGATAAAATTCGGCACACACAGGCAGACGAGTGAACGAAAAATAACAAATTCCTTTGCAATTTGTACATATTATGCTCTACAGAGAATTTTTTTGTACATTGTTTAAACTAATCTGACAATCCGATTATCTGGTTGCTACTCTGTCTTTACATATTTATTTTATTTTATTTTATTTCCGTACGTATTTAGTTTTCTCTTTTTAATTGCGCATTTTTGTTGCCTCTGTTAAAGAAATAGAAAAATATTTGAAGCTATTTTCTTGGCTTAGAGGCAAGTAAATACAAGCAAACTTTTTAAAAGCTTACAATAAACTTAGTTTTGCTTAAGACATATACAAAATGAATTTAAATTATTATATTTGTTATCAATCAATTATTCTAATAATTTTTAAATAAGTTCAATCTTAAATAGATATACAGTTTCGGAGGCTCTTCGTCAAGGCCTTGAAAAAGTTAACAATCTGTCTAGTAACAGATATTGTTTAAATAGCTTAAGTTTCTTCAAAGGAAGGCAGAACTTTTACAACTATTCAGAGCTGCAGCTGTGGCAGCAAAAACAAAACTTGAACTTTGCAAGCAGTCAGCTGGTTCAGTTAAATGCCACGCAGTTGCAGCTCTTTTCTATAACAGTTTGAGAATATTTTGCAACTCCGATCGTAAGATACTCTAAGCTATTGCATGTGTGGAAAGCTATTGTAATGTCGCGTTTTTATTGCTTGGCAGGTTGGAAACTTGGCAAACGATGGCATCAAATTGGCAACTGGCGCCAAGGAGCGTCGCTGCACGCTGGCACCGCATGATGGCCTCGAGGAGGAGGCACGAGGTGGCACTTTGCGCGCCCTTTGGACGCATGGAGGACCTACGGCAGCCTTTGTGCACATCCTTATAGCATTGTGTCTGCTGCTGCCGCGACTTTTGCTGGAGGCGCGCATCATCGAGAATGGACTGTTGCCCAAAGGTGAGTGTAATTAAGTGAAGTGCGGCAAGAGTGTGCCGTCAATGCAAAGTTGGCGAGTGTCAACAGTCAGAGTAGAGCAACTCCAGTTGGCTGCAGCACAAAAGTATGCAATGAAAATTTTGACGACGACAGGAAGCTGCCGCAGCTCCATTTTATCTTCTTCCTCCTTTTTTTTGTCGCCCTGGCATTTTCGGCTGGCCTTTATTGTTGTGCTTTTATTACCCAATTGCATTTCAATTGCGCACTTCCGTCACGGCGTGGCAGACACTTTGTTGCAGCTGGCGTTGTTCTTGCAACTGCATTATTGTTAAGCATACGCCACTTGTTACATTGTCGGCTGATAAATGCCAGTATAAAGAGCCTGCATTGAATTGTTCATAATTGCATTTGTTGCTGCAATCAATTCCACATTTGCGGTCATTGTGCATTTTAATTAAATTATTCTGGCTATGATAGCCAGCATAATTGGCCGTCAGACAATCGTCAAGGGCCCCACTTTAAAGTAATTTCAGCATTTACAAAAACGTTAGCACATAAAACTGTTTGGCCAAGAAGTTACAGCCCTAATATCTGCAAGCTTAACAAAGTGAGCTTAAGGGAATATCACAGCGAGAAGGAGAGCGAAAGAGAACTGTAGTGAAAAAGATAATGTGCATATGAGCATACTATGCTCCGGCTCAAGTCACTTCAAAGCAATGTCAATCGCTGGGGAAATCTGCTCGAAAAACATATGCATGAGCTGCCGCTTTCCACAGGCAAACAAAAACAAACGCAAACATGCCCAATATTGCCGCACACGGGCTAACAACCACAGGAGTAAGCTCGGCGACACACACATGCATGTACACAAATAGGTTGACAGGCGAACAGGGGCACGCCCATTATGGGCAGCAATAAGCCACGTTATTAACAGCGTGCAGGCGGGCAACCAGGCAACCAACGAACCGAACCAAAAACTGTGCAAATGTTGGTTGAATAAGGAGCAGGAATAGGAGCTGAAGCCAAAGCAGGACAGCCGGTACGCCGGCAGGCTTCTGTTTGCTCATCGCCATGTGCACACCTGTGTGTGTATGTGGCTGTGTCTGTGTGTGGTGATATTCTCTATACACACACGTATACAGCCGGCGAGTAGCGCTTATGCCACTCGTAGCACTGTAAACTAATGCCACAGTAAACGGCAAAAACATATTAAAAAAAAAAAAACCAAAAAGTTAGTCCTCAAATACTCCTTTAATTCTGGAACAGTTTTAATTTCCATGGGCATGTCAGTGTTGCATACATCTGCGTGAAATTTGCAAATGAGTTACAATTTAGTTTTATTTAACATTCGGCATTATTTTAATCAGAGTCTCTCGTTAATATAACGTAATATAAATAAAAATTAAAATTAAAAATACTAATTTCGCATGCGAGTTTAGCTGATATACTTGATTGTATAAAATGGCACCATAGAGAGATGATATTCTGCAGATTTTATACTCTATAGTATAAAGATATGCGTCCATATGCCCCTCGATAGTCAATACTAGATGACAACGAGAGAGAGAACGTACATTAAAAAGAGCTGTGCTAGAGAGCTAGAACTACTACTTGATAATATATCGATAACAAATAATCATTAATAATTTTCCAACACTGGCAAGCTTTTTACTAACGTCTGCACGTCTCCCACTCTGCACGCCATATTTGCCTCTCTCCATAGATGGAACTAAATTTCCTCGATAATACATCGATAATAATGTGTCATTAATAATTTTTCAACCTGATAGGCTTATTACTTACCTCTGTGATGACATTTAACCACTTTGTACATGATATTAGCATCTCACGACAGTTGGAACTACATTTCTACATTTCTCGATAATATTTCGATAATCACTTGACATTAATAATTTTACAGCCTTATTACTAACAGCTGTATTGACATTTTACCCACTCTGCACTCGATATTTGCCCCTCTCTATAGTTGGAAGTAAATTTCCTCGATAATATTTTGCAACACTGGCAGGCTTATAATAGCACCCACTCGATAGTCGATACTCTATTTACTCGATATTAGCCTCTCTCGATAACTGGAATAAGCTGTGCAAATTAATGATTAGCCATTGATTGATTTCGCTAACACGAATAAGAAATTAAATCAAAAGAGAAGTATAAATAAATCCCTTTACATACTGCCAGCAAGCGTTAACTGCCAATATTTGCTACTGTTAGCAAATATTTAACAACTGTCCGAAAATTGAAATGTGTCGAAATCTGAATTTACAGAGGGAGCAAGGTAAATGCCGTGATGTCGAAAGGCAAGCAAATCAAATTAACTACATTTAAAGCGAGTCCGTGTGCGAATCCGCGTCAGTTGCAGTTTCAGTCTCAGTTTTCAGTTTCCAGTTCCCAGTGCCAATCGCCATTTCAATCTGTGTCCTGCTGCATGTCCAAAGTGGCTGACTGTCCATATGGTGGGTTTATTGAACCGGCCAACGCGCAGGGGAGCTGGCAGCAAGGGAGCAGGCAGCTTAAAGGGATGGAATAAAAGTCCGAACAATGCCGTCAGTGACGCGGCGCCGAGTTGCAGGAGTAAATTAAAAATGTGGCGGGCGGTCGGTCGCATTGGCATCATAAAAGCATTGACGAGCTGAGTTGAGTTAAAGTCCGGTCTACAAAATGGCCCATGATGAGAGATGCAGCAGCAGCAGCAGCAGCAGCAGCAGCTCAGCTATCTTCATGTGATATTTCAATTAATTTCGATTCTGTTTTTTTTTTTTAATTTTCATTTGCCATCTCGCTGTCCGCGTCGCTGGCAGATATTCTTGCGGTCCTTGTGTTGCCAATTCATGCTGGGAAATTACTTTCGCGCAACTTGTTGGCTGCCCGGCCGCACATGCCGTGCCCCACTCGCCCGTTGGAATTAGAAAATCATTGGCACAAATAAAATGTGCAACGGACCAAAGCCAAAGTCTTAGTCCTTAGCACTTGCGTCTGGGCTTGGCATCAAACGGTCTCGCCAGTGGGACGTTGTGGCTCTGGCTGGAGCCGGATGTTGGTCAAGTTAAGTGCAATGTCTTGTCGCGACAACGGCTTTGGCCATTTTACCGCTTGGCTGCACAAGACTGCGCTCCCCCCTGCTGCAATTTGTCAACTTGGTTGACATTCTTAAAGATGGCCTTAGCTGCTCTAGATTGCCCCGTTGATGTTGACACTTGTCAGCCGCGGATCGGCGATTGCAAGTTGCGCATTATAATTTCCTGTAAGTAATTAATAAAGTTTACCTCCTGATGGACTTGGCAGCACAAGGAAAATATCTATAGCTACGGAGCTATCAAAAAATATTAAAAAACTTGCATATATATACATTTTATTTGACTCTTTGTAACTTTTGCATTAGCATAAAATCGGGCCACAGAACTGGCAAGGCAATTAGACAGCGCAGTGAAAATCATAAAAGGAAAATACTTTTTAAAAGCTATCACAAGTCGCATAAAAATAAAGACGGAAAAGATATTAAATTAAGAGGGCAGTTGGATTGCGGTGAGATGTGAGGCAGCTGTCACAGCATAATATTCGCAAACGTAATGCATTAATTTAATTAATTAAAATATTACGACGTTTTCTGGGCCTAAAATGAGTATCAACAAATTTAAAACGAAAATTACGTATACGCCACGCTGCACGCTGTCAGAATACTTTAATTGCGCCAAGCGAAAACTAATTACTTTTGGCAGATGTCAAATAATTGAATGATATATTAGATTTCACATGATATAAAAAAAATGTATATATGTATATGTTTATATTTGATATATTGAAGATCACGCATACGCACCGTTGCACGCTGTAAGCGATGCCGCTGCTTCATGGCGAAAACTACTTAAATTGAATGGAAACTTTTTGCTTTTATTTTTTTAATAATTTTATTTAATAATCATAATATACTTAGAGACTTAAAAATTAATTTCTTTTTGATTAACATAGAACAATGCTCATATTGACACTTATATTTATTAAATTAACAGACTTATTCATGTTTATTATAGGTAATTTTATTGAAAAGTAATTTTACATACATATTATTTATAATAATAGTTGAATAGTAAAATTTAAGCTGGCCCCAGCTGCTTCTGTTCGCAGTTTTTTTTTCTGTTTTCGTATTTAATTAAAAGCTGAGCACAAATCAGCGTCCAGCGACAATTTTATGGCTTAAATCACTTAAACGCCGTGTTGCGCTCATAAATAATTAATGCAGAGGTTACAGAAAACAAATAAAAACTGTGATAGGATAGCGGACGTTTAATATGAAGGCCTCTTATGCGCCATATTGAGCGTATAAAAGTCTGCTAAACAGGCGCACTCGAAATCACCAAAGGAAGCAGTTGAGGGCCGAGCTGTGCTGCGCTGGACGTGCACCGGATGTGGCCCAAGATGTTGTGGCCGGTAACGTAGCCAGCACAGGCCACGGCAAAGGCATGAAACTTATCATTATTCATGCTAAAGACTTAACGAGCGCGGTCTTGAGCTGGCGAACATTGGTAGGGGCTGGTATTCTGCGAGGCTTATCGGCATTGCAACTATTACCCACAGCGGGGCGTCGGGCAGCGGCTGACGGTGGGCGTTGCCTGGCTTGGATTTGCGCATTTTCATTACATTTCCTTCATACTGCGTCCTTCGTTTTCTGTCGTCGTCTTCTTCGTCGACTTGGCGCTGGTGTTATTGTCATTGCCATAATCGAGGCGGGAAGCGCTGAGGCGAGGGCATTGCCGCTGGGTTAATCTGCAGATTTTCGGTGTTGTCGGTTTTACGAGCCACTTGCCGTTTGCCAACGACGACATATTATTATGGCAGCCATTGTTGAAATCCCAACCAAACATCTACCCCAAAACAGAATTCTACTTTGTGCACATCAGTCTACCCCAGCGGGCAGCCCATTGTCTTTAATATTTGTTCGGCAATTTTCGGTCTTTTATTTCCGAGCTGCCTTTGTTTGCCGCCCGCTCGCCAGGGGATATTTCTGTCAGTTCTTTGCGCTCTTAAAGCAGCTTGCATAATAAATAATTTTATGAAAGTGTTAACTTGGCAAATTTTCGTGTCGCTATTCAGGTTATTAACTGGGCCAGGCCCCCCTCAGTGAAAGTGGACAGGGATATCACGAAATCCATAAAATAAACAAATTAGCTAAGCATTATAATCCAGACGACCGCCGGCAATTGTTGGCAATTGTGGCCGGCAACAGGACGCGAGCTTTCATAGTTAAGTTAAAATTCTTTTTTATTTTATTTATAAAATTAATTATAAATCTATTAATTGAAGCTGATTACGGAAATCGACTTACGAGCCATAATTGACCAATTGCACATATTTAACGTGTTTCATTTAATGCATGAACAATTAAGGGCTTAGCTGCACAGCAGAAATAGCTTTAAAGCTAATGCAGTATGTACAGGAAATATTAATATAGCACTATGAAACGAAAATTAAATTGTTTAAAATTGTTTAAATTGTTAACAATCAACTACATCGTATTCCTCTACTCAGCTCCATCCAACAACATTTTTACTGTAGTTATCAAAATTCTTCAAAGATTATTTCAACAGCCAAACTGAAACTTTTGCTTATTACCATTGCAACACAACACGTTTCATTAATCTCCGAACATTTGCATTTGTGTTCGCTCAGCTTATATTAATATTCATTAACAGACCATTTGCTAGCTCCTGGCGAACACACACACCAGTCAAAGTTCGCAAGCTGCTTTAACGAGATGAACAAAATAAAAATAGAAGGAAACACAAAATTGGACCGTAATAAACATCAGCATTGAATCCAGCTAAAAGCAAAGTCAGGGCTTGCTTAGGTAGCTGTCGAAAATCGTTAAATGGAACATAAACCCTCGACATATGCTGTAAATGTGCACTTAATTAGCTCAACGGGGCTTCAGTATTATCCAGTGCCAAGCATTCGCACTGTTAGCGAGTGATGGTGCCAAGTATTTAACAGCAGCCGAAATGTAGGCAACACTTTTTGTGGCTGACAAAATGGCGTCGTAAATCCTTTGGAATTGACTAGGCGTTGCTTTTACATATGCATAACAATTGTGCATTAGACGTGAATAGTCGACTAAAAGATACTTTTATATATATTTATAAATATATGAATATATTATTTTTGTTATTATTTTTAATACGAAGGACATCGCCAGTGACATCGCTTTTTTATCGCTCTATTATCTGCCATTGAAGTTAAATGTATTTTTCTTTCGAAATTGTTGAGAAATATTCCTAAGATTATTATGTTATTTGGTTATCATTTCTGACCAAAAAGGTTCCAGGAAAAATTTGTTTTGTTTCCGCCCTATAAGATTAAGATTACCGTAGTAATATATAAAGTTTACCTACATAGATTGTTCCAATTACAAGATGCCCGCTTAATCCATTTGAATATGTACAGGGTATAAAGTAGTATCTATCAATAACGCCCCATTTAATTAACTATAGCTTAGAGGGAACTGAAGCAGCTTGTGCTGCCTGCTTGTTGGTTTCAACGTGTTCAAATGCTCATTAACTGCGTGCATATTTATTTAAAGCAAGTGTGTGGGTGTGTTGGGTGTATGAGTGTGGGTAGGTGAGTCTGAGTGATTGTGATTCGTACGTGCGTGTGTGTGTGTCCAAACAAAGGTACTTTGCTGCTAATCCCCCAACATGTGCAGCTATCTTATGGAGTAGTTCAAAGCAATTTTGTGTTGTTCCCAGCAAATCAGGCATTGGATGTTGTAGCTCACTCTAATTATACGCATCCATATCACTCTCTCGCTTACACTTGCTAACTAACTAACTTACTCTCGCTCTTTCTCTCTGACGCCTTTTCAATTGCAGAGCAAGTTTGGGCAACCGAATTGGACTTTGTTGTTATCAATAGACGCAATTTGATGGCCATGTCGGTGGTGGTGCCGACGCCACCCTATCAAAATCAGCAGCAGCAGCAGCAACAGCAGAGGCTGAACGTAAGCGTAAACAGCTTGGAGCACGATGAGGACGACTACTACAACGATACGATGTTCACGGCAATACGGAGCAGTAGCAGCGGCGGCGGTATCAATAATAATTTGTTCGAACTGACACGTGATAAGGATGGCAGAAATGGCAGGAAGGCGGCCAAGACGACGGCAATAACAACAACAAAAACAACAATGCGTAAAGGAGCTGCGGGCAGAACAAGATACTTTGAAGTGCCCGATTTAATTAATCGAAATATTGATGAAGACAATGAGCGGCAGGGTAAGGACGTGGCCCAACGACAGCAGCTTGATGATGACAACGATGATGATGTTGATGATGTTGACTTAGATAATGATAACGTTGATGTGGGCCGAGATGAGGGCCCTGTCTTTATGCCAGACTTTGAGGCCAGCAATGGGTTTGCGCCCAAAGCAACAGCAACAACAATAGCAAAAGCAGCCACAGCAGCTGCAGGAGCGGAAAATTGGCAAAGGCTGGGCACACTTGACAAGGCGACCAGCAAGACAACAGCGGCTAGCATTGGGCCAATAACAAAAACAACAACGGCTGCTACAAGCAGCACAGCAACAACATCAATATCGACCACAACAACTACAGCAACAACAACCACACCAGCAGCAGCAGAAGGAACAACAAGCACAACCGCATCACCAATTATAGCCAAGCAGCAGCTACAATTGCACCAACACCAACATCACAACAAGAGCAGTCGAAAACACCACAAGCACCACCACAAGCAGCGACAACAACAACAACAACCGCGTCGCCACCACGTGGCTGCCCACGAACAGACGCTGGTAGAGAGCTACGGCGAGGAGGAGACCACGACACGGGACAGCAGTATTCATCGCGTGCGCACCGAAATGCTGCCAGAGATTATAATACCCTCGACGCCAGTGTCCAGCAACTCCAAGATAATTGCCATCAAGCCCAAAACGCAGAAGCGTCGCATTGTCAAGCGCGCAGCGAGCAAATCCGGCGTGGATATCGAGCCGGAGTATTTGCTGGGCGATGCGGCCGTCAGCTCCAGCGAGTTTATAGCCAAGTCCAGCAGCGAGCAGCAGCAGGAGCAGCAGGAGCAGCACGAGCAGCAGGAGCAGGAGCAGCTGGATGAGGATCTGGATATCGATCTGGACGATGCCGATTTCCAAGCGCTGCCAGCTGTCACGCCAGCAGTAGCTCCCACTGGCAGCAGCAGCAGCAATGATTTTGTGCGTCTCGATGGCTTTGCGGGCATGCTGCAGCTGTTTTTTGGCATCGACAAGCCCATCGATGTGGCCATCTTTGCCCAGCCGCCCAGCGCGGAGTTTGTGAACCTCTTGTGCGCTTTGCTCGTCTGGACAGTGCGTTATCCGGCCGTATTCTGGAACACGTCCAAGTCGTTTGCCTGTGTCTTTAGCCTGCAAATGATTGTCGCCGCCTTGGACACCATACTTGGTTATGTGGGCGTCTCGAATCTCTACAAGCTGCAGATCTATGCGGAGGCCATGCCAGTGCATCAGCCGGGACTCATACTGAATGCCACGGTCACGCTGGCGCTCTACTTGCTGGCCACGGCGCTCGTGTTGGCCTCCTCGATGGTCATGTATTTGTATGGACACGGCCGGCTGGCCACTCGCATGAGAGATCGCTCCATTATCACGCTTAAGACCAGCCAAACCTGGATCTATTTTGCTCATTGCGCCTCCTTGTGCTTTGTACTGGCCTTGGCTGTGGTCAAAGCGCCACTGCTGAATGATCTCAGCGCCACCTACAAGAACAATTTGCATTGTCCAACGTTTTTGGCAGGTGAGTTAAATAAAGTTGGCTTGGTTAATTTCGCTTTAAATGCTCCAGTACACTAGAAACTAGTTCAGCAAGAATTTAACTACTTTCTAAAAGAGATATGATATGAGTCTGATGTAAATAATTAGAAAATTTAATTAGAACCGTAAAACTAGTTAAGTGTTCAATTGAAAGTGACTTAAGCAATCGTGGCATTCCTTACAATTAAACATAAATTTTAAAAACTCTAGCATCGATTAAAAAGTATATTCAACCTTAACTTGCGCTAAAGAATGATTTCGAATGTAATCAAGTTGCGTATTAGGTTCTGAAATTTAATTTGGAACTAGCCCATGATATGCTCATAAAACTATAAATAAACTATTGAACTAAACTTTACAATTAAACTACAAGAACTTTTCGCAAAAAAACTTTAGGATGAACTTACTTAATAAAATACACAATCCTAGTTTTCTATCAAGGCAGCAAACCAGTTTTGAAACCGAACCGGATCTAACCTGGCATTCCAATTGAATTTTTACTATGAACCGAACCTTTAATTAAAAAAATTGCACAAAAAACAGCCGAAGCGCAAGTTGAACCAAACCAAAAGCGTTTGAAAACTTTTGAAGGCATAAAAACCTTGGAGCCCAATCATTGATAGTTGCAATTTTAAGTAGAGATTTATGAACATTTTTACGGCTTGCAATTATTTCTGAAGAATGGACAATTTTCAATTGAGAAATTATAAATTGTTTTTATATATATGAGTTTTGAATCCGACCTGAGTTCAAGAATGTCGAATACCGGACTCACGAACCGCACTTAAGGGCAGGAAACTAGCAGCAATTTGCATTATGTAGTCAAGCATTTAAACATAAGACAATAGATTTCAAATAAATTAGCTCAATGTCAAAGAGAAGGCATGACAAGAGTCTTATGATAACTGACCACAGGGCTTCAATGTATCCATTGTCCGCTTTAATTGAAGTGGACGCAAACACAAACCACGAGAACAATTCACTCTAAGCCATGCCCCAGCACCTTGAGCCCTGTCTGTAAGCCAATTAGCGGTTGTTGTTTTCGGTGGGATTTCGCATTAATCGGCCGGCCATGTGCGTAGCGTAAAGACCGCGTGTCAAATGACCACAAGGCTCAAGAGTGACGCTCATCTGGCTGTGTCTCAATTACCGTGTCTTATGTCTTAATCAGCGTCTGCTTATATTCTCTCTGTAGCGCTCGTTGGCGTCACACACCTGCTGCTGTGGATTGTCGTCTGGCTTTGCCTGACCATCAAGAGGCGCTGGCACTTTAAGCTGCCACCGCTGGATCACACCTATGGCGGGCTGTTGAACAAGGCCAGCGCTCAGCCGTTGCTCATGTCCAGCGGGCAACGTACGGGCAGCAATTCGAGCAGCGGCGCCAACTCAACGAGCACAACGGTCAATGGTATCGACTCCTCCAAGCCGGATATGATGAGCACGGCCACAAGCACGGAACTGGCTGGCATGGGACTGGTGGCACAGGAGGATATCTATTGGCCAAAGCTGACGCCCAGCTCGCCCAAGCTGAAGGTCACCTTCAATGAAGTTACGAGTACGTCTGATGATGTCCTACTAATTGGTGACCAAGAACAAACTGATGGCAAGCGGTAAAAAATCGTTTTTTAGTTACAAAACAAAAATAAACAGCAAATTGAAGGCAGCGCCCGTTGTCCGTTCTACTTACGAATCTGCAACATGCATTTCAAAACACGTACTTAGTTGAGTTTCATTTCGTTTTCTCAAGCACCACCATTTAATCGACACCACCACCAACAAAATTCATTACTTGCACAGTAAAAAAAAAAAACTAAAAACTAAACTAAAAAAATAATCATTTTCTAGTCATTTAATCTAGAATTCTAATTTCTGTTTCAGTGTTGTGTTGTTTTCATTTTTTCTTTGTTTATTATGCACGTTCCATTCTACACATTCCGCCCAATTCTTAATTGCTACCCAACACACACACACACACACACACACGCGCGCAACCACTTCATTAACAAGTTTAGTTTTAGCGTTTACCCACACTTATTTAAATTTGTTTTGTGCCATTGACAATAATATTGTTGTTTTTCTCTTTGTAAATTTCAAACCATTTTAATTTCCTTTGGGTTTTCATTTACCATTTTCAATAACGGAATTTCCCATTTGCAACAAAATAACAGTTTTGTATTTAAAAAAAAAAAAAGTGTCTTAACAAAAGAGAGAAAGGAAACTATTTTTGTTCCGCTTGTCGCCTGTTTTATTGAATCTTATTCACGGAATTTATAAACAGAATATATTTTGTTAATTTATAATTTTATTTTCTTAAATTAATTTGTGTTGTTTAATTTTATGTCAATTAACTAGACGTGGATTAGACGTTGAATACTAACTCTAGCTAATTGAATGTCTCGGTCTAAAATTGTAACTTAAATTTCATAAATTGAACTCACATTTTGTGCTGTTGCTGTCGTTGTCGTTGTTGTTGTTGTTGGTCAATTGTTTAATTAGTGACAATAACTAACCAACGGAGCAACACACGCTGCTAACACCAAATCATGTGGGTACCGTCCGGAACTGTTGCCCCTTTATAATTGACTGACACACTCTCTCCACCCTCCACCCTCTACCCTCTACCCTTTAGCCATACGAGCCGTGGAACCGCGCTATGTTTTGCCAGTTCTGCGGGGGAAATTGACGACGGCGAGTACGCGACATTAAGGGCGGCCACCGCCGGCACCGTTGTGGGCATCACCATGGGCAGCATAAAGAGCAGCATTGCAGTGAGCATCGGCGGCGGGGTCGGTGGCGCAGGCAGCAGCAGCATCATCAGCGGCCTGCTGCATCTAAGCGAATATGACGAGCTGCCACCGCCGCCATCTGTCAACCATCAGCACCCACTAGCCCATGGGCACGCCCACGACTATGCGAATCTGAGCGGGCTGGGCGGCATCAGTGATGACAACATCTCCGAGGAGGGCAAGCTGCTGGCCTGTGTGCGGGACGATAGCATCACGTATGCATCCACACGCGATCTGGAGCCGCCACAGCCGGCAACACCACCGCCGCCGCCGCCACCGTTGCCCGTCAAAGGTGCGCCCATGCCCCAGCCGCCCAGCGTGCAGCATCCACATGTCAGCTACGGACGCGCGCCCCAGGCTATGCCCGAGATCATGCAAATTTCACCCGAACATCACAAATCACAGCCACAGCCACAGCAGCAGCAACCACACCACCCGGCGCTCCATCATCCACTACAGCAACATCCGCATCCGCATCCACATCCGCAGTCGCATCCGCTTCAGCAGCATCATCTAGTCAGCCCACTGGCTCCGGTCACGGTCGCCGTGCACACCAACGAGGCGCATGTAAGTATTCAACGGGTTTGGACACACGCTGTGATAACATGTGTAGCACCATGCCCCCTACAGCCCCTCGGGGCTATGTCCTGGCAATGATGGGAGAGTTTTTGATATTGGGCCATTTGACTTGTTGATTGCAGACTGAGTTATATACAATATATAATATAATGTAGACAGTTGTAGATGTAATTCAGATAATATATAGATTAGGTTGTAGATCAATCGAAAGCTTTGCCAATTTGAAGACACGAATAGCGTTTATTTTTTTTTTAAATTTGATTTTTTTGTTTTTAATTTTATTATATTATGGATAATACCTATTTTTGGCCTTTGATAAAAAAGTTTCGTTTACAAATTATTTTAAATGTTATTGAATTCGTTTCGAAAAAAAAACAATGAGAAATTTAAAAATGTTCACATACATAATTTTTGTTTACATCAGACTCTTTTATAGAGGAATATTATTTTTATTGCCGCTTCATATAATTAAAGTTTAGATGAAGGTACAGTGATCGCTCGGTAACTAAAAAGATTCATATTATAAAATCTCTAGTTGAAAAGCATATTACAAATTTCTCAAATTTTTAAAAAACAACTGCGCATAACACATTTTCTCTTACGACTATCAAGTGCTTAAAAAATATAAAAATCATATATAAATAAGAGAATTTTGAAAATTAGTAATACTTTTGGAACAAATTGTTTCTAATAATTGGGCATCCACTGTATTAAATGTATATTTTTTAAAACAATTTGTTCCTTTTATAGAAAAGTATTTGTACAATATTTGGATAAAATGAGGATATTTCTTAAACAATGTGGCAAAAACTTCAAAAACACATCGGTGATATGTTTTACAAGTGTGCTAAAATATAAGATTTATTATTTTTATAAATAGAGTATGAGGTCTTCGGCTTTTGTAGGGGACCAGTATTTAAATTTTGGTGAGATTGATATGTAGTGTTTGCCACACTTTCGCTGGGGGCGTGTGTGGATTGGGACTCGTGTCACGCCAGCGGGTGCAATGCGGCCAGCCATGAGATTTATGTTTGCTGTTATGAGACAGCATAAATCAGTGCCAGGGACAGCAAAGTGCAGAGACCACACACACACACACACACACGCACAGGGATACACACGTCTGATGGATAGTCAGCCTGGCAGTCCAGCTGTCTGGGGCTGCCAGACTGCGACAGCATCCGATAGGGTAACAGGACACTCGCCTGATTTAATTTCATTTTCACTTGCAGGCGACGAAATGAAGCAGAACTTAAACGACTTTTTCCCTATCTTTGCCCCTTTATCATCATATCCAACATATCCTGCACTCTTTCTGTCTCGCTCACGCTTTCTGTTATCCTTGCCGCCAGATCGCCTCCAGCTCCACACCCCGCTGCCTGCGGCGCGCCGACTCCGGCGTGCCAAATGAGGCGCTAACGCCACGCAGCGACACCAATTCGATCACGGAGAGTACCAATACCACATCGCCACCGGAGCGTGCCCCCTCCGAGTCCTCCAGTGGCGTGCACTCGGGCGAGGAGCGTGAACTGGAAGTTATTATACGCCCCCGCGTCAGCTGCAAGGCACCGCCACGCCCACCACAGCCGCCCATACAGGAAGAGCCCTACGGCCGCTGCACCAACATGCGCATGTCCAGCTTCAATGCTGACCCCGTGGCCGCCGCCAGTGCCATCAACAGCGCCACATTACCACTGCAGCGCAGCGCACCCGAGCAGAAGTTCGACTATACGGCCCACTGCAGCACCATGCCCCTGCCGGCGGGCTGTCACAGCCAGCAGCTCGCCAACGGCGGCGGGAGCAACAACAATAACGGCGGCTATGCCTCCACCTCAGCCATGACTAGCTCCATGGGGCCGCCGCCGCCGCCCTCGCAGGTGTCCAGCTTCAAGACGCCCAGCATGCATTATGCCAATGCAGCCGTGGCACTGGGCTCATCCTCGCACGTGCCGCACACAACGCTGCCCAACGGCGTGCGCTACTCAAATCCGCATTTTCTGCGCCGTTTGCCGCACGTGAGCAAAGCTGCCGAATCGCCATATGGACACCTGGGCTATGGGGCCGCACATCACGCCTTCAGCAAGCTGCCGCACGAGACGCATCCGACCATACCCGAGGATCGGGATTCAGCCAACTATTCCATGGCCTCAGATCAGGACTGTGGCCTCTATGTGACGGCTCAGCTGCACTAAGCCGGCGGCGGGATTGAATTTTAAATGACAGCTATAGCACTTTAGTATCGTAATATCGCAAAAAATCAAGCTTAAGTATATGTGTACGTTAATCCTAAGTGTATAGATGCCTCAAATCTTAAATCTTCCACACGCACTTCACGAGTTCACTAGACATCATCAGAGTTGAGTTTGTAAGCCAGATGTATGTATACCAAAGGGGTTCCGCGATTTCGAATCCCTATCTGCATTAATTGTTCAGCCCTGATGATGTATAGAGACTTATTACCAGAAGTAAACCTCGTAGGTCCGAAGCTTATATGTATATGATTTGCATAAATAATTAAACCGTGTAGCACAAATACCCACGCCCCAAGCAACTAACGCCCCACGCATAAGGTTACAAAGGATATCTATGCATATACTATATACATATATATATATATAAATATATATATATATATATATATAATTCTATATTTATACACACCACTCGGTATGCTCGTATACAATGTGTAAGATAATAAACAATATTTGTGTTTATCATATCATCTATGATAATATATGTATTTAAACTAGAACCTACGCGTAATATTGAAACGTAAGCAAAGCCGCATACATTATAATCGTATATATACAACTACTATTATCGAATAATCAAGAAATATTTACAATATTTTGCCCACTCCGAAACATTTCTCTCCAACATAAAAAATGCATACGAATTTAAGCCGCAATCGCATGGTTTTAAATCTAAGAAACAGAGGCCGAAGAATTTGTGAAAGTAAAAATTAAATTTGATAGCAATTAACTAGCGCACAAAATGTACGAGTCCAAAGAGGCATAACACTCGAAGATCTGACTTTTTTTTCCGAAAATCTTTTAGTTTAACAATTAATAATATAATAAACTATTTCACCTCGGCTGAATAAACTAGGATCTAGAAATGTTATACCTTTTTGAGCTCGTGCTGGCCTAGGAATCGATAAGCTTTGAAATCGACCCAATTTAAACAACAACAAAAAAAAAAAATGCCGTGATGGTAGATAGCATTAGCCACGCTTCAGCTAGTCGTCGTAAAGTAAAGCTTCAGCATATTTTTTATGGTCTCCTCGAAATATTCTAATCGTTTAAGATAAATGTAAAATGTAATGTAACAAAGCGACAATATGATGATATCTAATGTATGATAAAAGCAACTAACTAACTGTATTAAATTAGCTAATATACTTACCATCAGAAACACGCATACATACACAACCATTAACTCACGGACTACAAAGCACTTCCCATACATATCTCCCCCATGAAAAAAAAAAAAAAAACAATTCCAACAAAGACTTTCAACTCGAAACTACTTTTCTAGGCGCTCTCTACAAGGCTTTTAGATAAACGGAAAATGCACTTATTTGAATAAAAGAAAATATAAATGTTAAATGGTAAAAGGTAAAAGGTAAAACTTAAATGTAATTCCTCAATGGCACTCGCACAGTCTACACTTTTATTAAGAATTTGACCGTATCTATTTTTGTTATGAAGACTGATTAGCATTATAATACCCATATAATGAGAAGCCCAACAAGCAAATGCATTCGCATAAACTTTAATACCCCCAGCTTGCCGTTTAATCAAATTCAATGCATTATACGATTCAAGAGTCTATTCATAAGTATGATGAAATTAGGCCATATTGTAGTGGTAGTAGTATGTACTTATTTATATGTTGCCATAGGGGCAAGCAGTCTTTAACATTGGTTCCTTTAAGAAACGCACTAAAGCTAAGCATTAGCCAGATTTAAGTGACACTTTTGTAAAATAATTTCTATTCAATTTAAGAATTAATTATATATCTAACAAGAATACCTAGTATGCCCCCTGATATCGCATTATGTACGTATTCACGGTCGTATTTTTTTGTAAGTCAAACTAACCAACCGAGAGAAATAATTGTAAATGATAAAAACAAATAAATATAAAAATGAATGCCGCCAATGAACCCGATATGACATGATACACGCATATACATACATATACATATACATTTAAATATATTTATTACAACACATAAATAAACAAATGAATACTTAAATGTTTGAATTATTTATACATACCATATATGATTAAAGGTTTATCAATGGTAAATAAAGAAATACCACCGCTTTATGTGAAACCCCAAAATCAATCGTGTTTATATTCCTTATTTGTAATCCAAAAAGATATGTTACTCACTTAAAATGGCGATAACTCGGGTAGGTGAAGCTTATTATTTTTTTATTTTTAATTTGTTTGAATGTCAATTGATAATAGTGATCTAAACGAATTCAAAATGGTATAACATTTCAAAATCAGACGATATTTACCCGAGATATTCATAAAAATTCATCAAAAAAGTTTGGATTTTTGAACCGACCCCAAATATTGAGAATAAACTTGCTTTTTTACCGATTTGGGTCAAAACTCATATTTTCACTTTTTTAATGCCAATCGATAGTACTGATCCTTACGAGTCCAAAATGGTATAAACCCCAAAAATCGGACATCATTTGGCCGAGATATTTCAAAAAAAATCATCACAAAATGTTGACTTTAGAAACGAATCGTTTTTTGGTCAACAACTTTTTCAAACTCATCAAAAAAGTCCGGTACAGCAGCTCCCCCTGCCAGGGCTAACTCCTGTCTCACCAGCTGATGTCAATTTATGATTCCGTGATGTACCACTGTGGATGTGTATGTGTTTTGGAGAACACATATGAAATGCGTGAAATCGCTGCGCTTATAAGTATGCAGCAGAATTTTGCGATCGTGGACTTAACGTCGACCTCTTTCGATTGCTGTTCGCCTAGTACTTCAGCTCAAATGTGCATTAAAGATCCTTGAAATCTGCAAAACAAACTTCGCCTGAATGTATGCATTAGACCGCTGATTTTTCTTCGTCGAACTTGTAATTTTTATTGGCATCGTAATTTTGCTGAAATTTTTATTAAAAGCTCGCATATTCGACAGAAAGTTTTGAAATTATGGTGTCTTTTCTTAATTATCGATTATAATTGATCTACTTGGGATTTCTGCTTGGTATCTTGGTGTGCTTGGTATTTAAATTAAAAAATTTAGCATACCGAAAAAATGTATTTAATTAATAGGACATGCCTTATTTAGTTATTCATTATAAGCAACTATAACTTTTGCCCTTACAATTCTAGTAATATTCTAATAAAATTCATTAGTCCGCAGCCTCTATGTTGGCCAAGCAATATAGCCATTTAGGCAACTGGAGAAAAAGGTTTCGATCTCGAGTCCCAAATATGGATACAGTGATGTTTCAGCCAAAGTCCTCAGCATACTTGCAAATAAAACAAAACATTATTATATAAAATATACATTTTTAAGACAACAATTGCTGTATTAGTTACTTAAAATCGGACTTTCTACTTTTTAATAACATTTATTGACAATACGAGATATAATAATAAAGAACGCTTTTCTTCATTGCAAAGATTTGCCCTGAACTTGTGGAGACTCAATGCAACAGATTGACCTGAAATAATTTTGATTTCACAACTGACCCAGTTTTGAAGAAAATTAATTTGATTTTTTACTAATGCCAATCGATAGATCTCGGCGTACTGAATGCATTTATTATCGGTTAAATTTTTTGGGTGGCATATATTCTTTTGTGTCTGCTCAGGTACTTTTTGGTTCATTAGATATATTTGTATCTGCAGCATCTGAAAATTGTAATAATATTTAGAAGAAATAAAAGAATCTTTAGCTTGTTTTATTAGAAAACAATTTTAATGAATATTTTTTTCTTTTTGTTTTGTTATTTAAATGTTGGTTTTCATTAAATTTGTAGTTTACACAATTTCAAGGTCTGTTTTCGTCAATATTTATACCTTTTTTCTCTGCAAATTTTCTTCATTCATTTTGTTTAATATAATATAATTACATATTTTCTCTTTTTGGATTTCTTGTTTGTTTTTTTTTTTTACATATTCATTTTCACAGTTTATTGTCGTTTCTCGACCTTCGATTTTTGTCGAGATATTAAAATACAATATATTCAAAGCGTATTTCACGCAGCCATTTGCTTTATTTTTGTTTGTTGTCAACATTTTGCAATAAATGATATATCTATCTGATGTTGCTGTTGTGTATTTAATTTGTTTTATCCGTTTGAACTTAGTAAATAGCATTTTTGGTTTCAGTTGGTTTTCTTTTGTTCTTTAAATAACTTGTCATAATATATCTTGTGTTTCATTAACAATTCTATACGTGTGTCTGTGTGTGTGTGTGTGTGTGTGTGTGTGTGTGTGAGTGGTTGGGTCTGTGTGTGTGTATGTTTTGCCATTCTGTGACTTCTATGTAACGAATTTATATTTGGAATCCTAACAAGATGTAAGACTATGAAAAATGTTTTACGCAGCACAAATGCACTTGCCAAATCTTTGAAGCCAGAACTAAATTTATATCTTATAAATGACTTGCAGGAATTTTTTGCAGATATAGTTGTTCTTTTAATAGCTTCTTATTAAACCAATCCATTCTTTGATCGGCCCTCTCGAAAGGAATATAATGAATATATATATTTTTCTTATAAAGCATTTATTAAATTTGGCAAGGGCATTTGAAGTCCGGTGATAGCCGACATTATTTAATTTGAATTCTTTGTTGTTCTTGCTGCTATTGGCTGATTAGTAAAAGCTTTAAAATGTGGATAAGAGAGCACATGAAATAAAAGTTAGAGTTTATACTAGAAAAATGTGGGTATGAGAAGGTCAAGAGCATTGTGTAAAAGTCTGGTTATTAACTAGTTATATATGTGTATGCATGTATGTATGTATATGTATATATGTATATGCTCTACGTATCGCTATGTCGGTATGCTGTTTCGTATAATTAGTTGCTGGAAACCTCGCTGATAGTATTGAAGTTCGCAAAGCGCGTTTTCTTTTTGGTTCTGCACGATGTTCTGCCTGTTGTTTTGCAGCAACATTTTGAATGCATTTCTCTGTTTGTTGATTTTTATATTTGTATGCAAAAACTATTACGTATGTGTATGTACTGTAGCGTTAGATGTGCTATAGAAAGTTTTACTAAATATTTGCGTTCGGTATGCAACGGAATCCGTACCTGTAGCTGAATATGTGCGCAATAATCTGATGAGTGGACGGACAGGTTGAAATGTATTTAGTTAGCCGACTGGGTTCTGGAGAAAAGCTGTCCTTATGAGCTGTTTTTAGGAACAATACAATATCTGTGTCGCGTATACACATTAGCATTTAACAATATAGTATTATGCATATAAAAAATCGACTGCTCCCATATGGATATATTGCAGGCCTGTGATATGTTTACTGAATGTGAACCTGAAACTTTGGCCCAAATGCAATGCAAAATGTTGCCCAAACGAACGCAACCAAACGGCCAAATCAAATTTAGATATATTTATACTTGTATATTTTTTTTTAACGTTTGCAAATGATACTCTCTATAAGCTAAACATGTTGCATGTGTTTTGTTTTTTTTTTGTTTTGTTTTTTTTTTTTGTTGTGTTCATTAGCAAGCAGGTAACATTTTTACAGCTCACACTATTAACTTTTGAAGGTACGATGCGTTATTCATTCATTTCGAGCCAGCTGACGTAGGCAAGTTGATTTTGATAAGTGGGGGATATACGAGAAATATATATAGAAGCGAGTTCATGTTATGCGTTTAATGGCTGATACGAATGTGTTATCTATCATGTTGTATCTGTTATCTGTAATCTGTTATCAGCTCTGCGCTAGCTGCAAAAACTTTGGAGTCCATGCAAAGTTTTTGCAGTTGTGCAGAGATCTTAAAAAAATAAGCAGCAGCAAAACTAATTGTTAAGGCTAACAAATTTACCTCTCTGTGGGTTTTTACAATTACATATATCTGATTTAGTATGTGTGTGTGTGTGTGTGTGTGTGTGTGTGTGTGTGTGAGTGTCAGTGTGTGGTTTTCTTTGTACAGCTTAAGAGCAAAATATTGGTTGTGTTTTTTTTTTAATATGTATGCATTAATATATAATGCATGTTTTTGGTTTGATTTGTATGTGTTTGTGTGTGCTTGTTTGTTTCTATGTTTGTTTTATTAAACTAAATTTGCTCAATCGTCACGCTTGATAAATATTTGGTTTGGATTAATGCATATCTCATATATCATATATCTCATTTTAGTTACTTTATGATTAAGTTTAAGTTTAATTTTAAGTTTATCGTAAGTTAGGCTTATTTAAGTGTTAGTGGTTCTTTGCTTGCTTAAATTTTAACTATGTATATGTATATATGTGTATACATATATTGTGTATAGTATATACTCGTAAACATTTTGCATCTCTTGAAAATCTATAACTTTAATTTATTGATTTAGATTTATCTATTAAACAACTTGCTCCTGCACTAAATCCTCACTTGTTTCCTCCTCCTCATATATATTTTTTTTTTACGATCTCACTGACTTAGCATTAGGTGTATGACCGACATTAGCACTTTTTCTTGTTTTTGTGTGTGTGTGTGTATTTTGTTTTTAATAATTGTTATTAATAATAATAATTATAATAATAATAATAATAATCGTATTACGAAAATAATAGATATCTTAAGTATGTAATAAAAATTCTTTCAAATATGCATTAATTTACAAATTTCCTTTCATTTTTGTTTTTTTCTTTTTTGTGTATCTCTTCTTTTATGTCAAATAGTATTATCAATCATATTTATTTATAAGTTAATGTAGCTTGTATCTTGAATTTTATAGTTAAGTTAAATCATTTACTGCTCTGCTTGTGTTCTAAGTTTGGTTTTAAATGCATTTCTTTTCATGACTTACAAAATTAACTAGTTCCTTATACTCTTATGGAAATCTCCCGGTCATAGAATACAAAAAAAATAAATTAATTTACATACATATTGGACATAGATTAGGTCAGCGACATGCCGATCGGGTATTTGGCGGTTCCAGTAGCTCCTCCAGAGAATCCCACTACCAACATAGCTGAGCAGTGCCCGCGGGCTGACCTTGGTCCTTTGCTATTTGGCTGCCTGGCTGGCAGCTCTCGGCAAGGGTTACTGCAAGGGTTATCATGTAAGATTAGTGACAGCTTCCCAGGAGGTACTTTTGTTATATGTATTGTTAGTTGCTTGTTAGCGGGCAAATTGGGAGCTGTTTGTATTGTTATTGAATATCAAAATGGCAAAATGTCTTTACTAGCGCGTTATACAGAAAGCTGCTAAAATAAAAAAGAGTTGTATTCTTATGCAATAATCGAGAGAATAAAATTGTTATCGATAGTTATTTTTATATTGTGTGTGCACTTACAATTCAGTTCGTTTGCAAGTTTGGAAATTTGTTTGTGCTTGGTGCTTTAAAGTGTTTTCACTGTAGCTGGAAAGTGTTATTCACCCTGCTCCTCCATTATTGATTCACCGGCCCAAACAATCGGACGACCCTGATGTGGGTACACATTCGAAAATAGTATTGTAAATTTGTAATCTAAAAGATTCATTGACTCTAGCCCTAATGTGATTATAATATAAATATATATATATATGACTATATATATATGTATATGCCTATATATGTGTAGCTATATAGACAGCTAGCCGAGATTTGCCATTTTTGATGCTTTCATGTTGTATGCTGGAGCTCGAGGTTTGATAACGCAAGTTGAAAAATGTATGGAGTTTTTAGCTAGCCAGGATTACAAAGATCAATCATCAATAGATTGAAATATGATATAAATAATAAAGATGCGATTACGATTATGTTAACTACACATGCAGTAGAAAAGTTGTTTGCTTTCTTTTAAAGATTTCATGGTTATTGTGTTTCGTGGTGTGTTGTTCAGGTACTTAGTTGGGGATAGAGAAACATACCTATATGAGTATTGTACGAGTCTATAAGAAACTACGTTGAAGTTGTATGCTATGCCAAAAACGTAACGGTAACGGTGATTTAAGGTGACTTTGCGATAGGTTTTTACTTTGATATTAAACGTTTTCTTTTTATGATTTCTTTTTCATAAATTTTGTAAATTTCTTTTAACGGTACATAATGCAATTTATGTTGTTGCTGCCTCAGATCAAAATATATATACACATATATTAATGGGTATGTGTATGTGTGTGTGTGTGTGTGTGTGTGTGTGCGTGTGCGTGTGCTTTTGGTATATTTAGTTGGTTTTTAGCTAACTAAAAACAAATGCAAAACATGTATGCAATCAATTTGTTTTTCCCTTTTAACTATTAGAATTTTTTAAATAATTTTTTTTTTTTTTTTTGTATATTTTGTTGTTTGTGCTTGTACAGATGTTTTGTGACTCACTAAGCTACAAAGTTAAAGTATTTTTTTTGTTGGTATGTTTGTAAATTTTTTGCTTTTACTGCATACTGAGAAAAAAATGTAGCTACATGAATGCATGTATAAATGTATTTATATATGCATGTTGTTTAATATGCATGTGTTGTGGTTCTTTTTTTTTTACGTGTATTTTCAACTTGCAAGTCGATCTCGAGTTGAGTTTTTTACGTTTTTATTGAGTTGATAGTTAGATTTGAGCTGAGTTGAGTTGAGTTTTAGTTCAGAGTTTGAGTGAGTCGAGTGAAGCTATTGATGAGCGCCTAGAGCCTAAACCTATATTAGTGGGACAACTGACCAGTGAGGTGGTGCCAAAGAGTTTGTACCAGCCGATAACGATATTCGATAGATTCAGATCGTCGAGCATTATCTGTGCCACGCCCATAAACACTTTCTTTTCAATGCGTCCATAGTCACCCCAAACGGTCACCTATAATTAGTTAAATATTATAATAATGATCAAAATAGTTAACAAAAAATATCTGTAATTGTTCACCTGCAATACGCAACCAGTGTACGACTGCTTGAATACCAATTGCTGCTGATAAAGCGGATCCAGAGTTCGTCGCGCCGTTGAGGTTTTCATCTTGTCAATGCAACGCTTGCCCGACACCAGATACACCTTCACATAGGGCGCGGGCAGCATCTTCGACGAGGGCTTTTGCTGCAATTGAAATGCTGGAGATACTTTTCTCGTTTCGATCTATTTAAATGTTGGGCTAACCTGCAGGCCCCTGGCACGTATGACCTCCACCTCGAGGAATCCCTTCTGATGGCACAGCGATAACTGTATATCGCCCAATGAGGGCGCGCCCAGCACCTGGCGACCCACCAATTGACCGGGTCCCAGGCCATCCACAAACTCATTGAGCGCCCCGTCATTACGAAGTGATGGCGAAAATCTATTGGAATTTTCAGTTTGTTGTTTTTTTTTTTTTTTGGGTGTCGGTAAAAGTTTATTGGACTTTAGTAAAGATTCGACATAAGATTATCATCACATAGAAATAATTGAAAATGTTCAAAAAAAAAGAAAAAAAAACAAATAACTTCAAGATTTTGAGAAAGAAAGAACTCTTATAGCCTGGTTCCACTGAATAACTATTCTTTGAATCTCTTCTATATCAAGTAGTGTCAGCCATAGAAATTTAGTTAAGCTTAAGGGGTTAATATCATTCAGGAATGGACTGAAATTTGTGGAATCAGGCTATTATACACAGGGAGTTGTAGAAAGACAGTTAAATTGTTGTAAGTGGTTTTTGTGTACATCGGTTTACGACTGGTTTTGTGGATGGGTATGGTTCGTGTGGTTATGGGTGGTTCATGTACTGACAGAGTAGTGCACAGAAAAGTTCCATAGCATGCAAGTTTTCTTTTTTTAAACTCAATTTCTGTTGTTGCAACCACCAATAGAAATGGGCAATAGAATATGCTGTACTTAACAATAGGAATACCGAAGCATATATACAATATATGTATATACTCCGTAGTCGTATTGGAATAAGTAAATGGTACAACAATAGTGCCAGAAGTAAAGTGAAGTCTAGGTGCCTAGGTGTTTAGTACTAGTTGTTAGAATTTAGCTTATGCTCTGGGTTTTTTCTTATTAATATGTGTTATTCAATAAGTAAGAAACACTTATATTAAAAAGTATGTATATACATTTTTTTTAAAGAAATAATATTAATAAACATAATGTTTTAAGAAACACAAGATATACAAGAAATACAATTTGTACACGAGTCAAAATATTATACAAATAAGCGATGCGGAAAATTGAATATAACGCAAATTACGTAGAAATGTTAATATGGATATACAAAAATGCAGACTGGCTCAACGATATATCTTGAAAATACGTAGATAATAAGAAAGAGATGCCGGTCAATTTGGACACAAATAGATAAATAACATGTTCAGAGAGACAGAGAGAGAGAGAGTTGTGTCATGGTCGGATACGCGATATGCAATAGATTTAGGATAGAGAGAGGCAGAAAGAGAGACAGAGAAAGAGAGAAAGAGAGAGAGAGAGAGAGAGAGAGAGAGAGCGATACATATAGCCATATACAAAGGCAATTGAAATGGGACTTGGAAATTGTGGGAAACAATGTGTGTGTGTTTGTGTGTGTGGCTGAGGCAGACAGAGAGAAAGAGTCGTAGGCAAAAAAGAGCAGAGTTCAAAGAGAGTTCGAATGTCAGAGTACTTCAAGTATTTTGTTGTTGGTATTTTGGGTTTTTTTTATTTTGGTATAATTTTTTTTTTATTTTTTTTTTTTTTTTTTTGGTCTGTATTTGCCAGTGAAACTTACGATGAGCCCTCGGAGCTAGAGATTGAATGTATGCTGCCCGCACTGTAACGGGTGACCGCTGGCACCGGCGGCACCTCCACCGATCTCTGGATGCTGCCTGCCGAGCCGCGCGATTGCCTTTGATAATATGGATGTGGTGGTGGTAGTGTGATATGATGGTGACTAGTGGAGGAGGCAGACGCGCTCGAGCTGCCCGAATACTGTGCCTGATATTGGTCTGTCGAGAATATGATATACATATAGTACAGTACGGGTAATATAGCACAATATGATGTAGTATGTGGGTATGTATTCAAAAATCAAAAATACAAACAGCAGCAACAATGTGTGTTTCAGTTTCTGAATGGGAGGACTTGTGTGCGACGCTGGATTCTGAGACACTCGATACTCGATACCCGATACTCGACGCTGGGCTCTGGGAATTTATATATATATATATATCAATATATGTCCTGACTATACAGAAATAATAACACAGAGAGTGAAACGAAACTCGAAACAAAATCAAATTATAATACCGAAATTGAAAACCATAAAAGTCAATTGTAGCTCATATTTATAGTATTTAGAAGTATGCCGAATTAACTGAAATATGTATAATAATTATAGTAAATACATAAATTCGTTATATTTAATTCCACTAAAATATTTTTTTTTTAGAATTTTTGCTGAATATGAGTTGCGAAATTTTTATTTTTATCCAGTTCTACTTTTTTTTTTTTTTTAATTTGTGTGTATTATAAATATATGTATATATATATATACATATATTATATATATTCACACTGCGTATACGCGTATGTTTGCTTTTAGATTCTTTTTCGATGCCAATTTTCATTGATGAAATTGTTGTGAACTTGTTGTGTAGTGTGTGTAGTTTATTGTTTGTTGTTCAGTGTCTGTTCTTGGCTTTCTTTGACAGAGCTCCCTGTATATACATACATATGTAAACATCAAATTCTTTCGCAAAAAAACAGAAAAAAACTTGTAGAAAACAGATGATAAACATTAGTTCAATTGATCATTTGGTTATTTTGATTTCTTGTTTTTAGCAGAGATCAGAACTATTGATTTCATGCAAATTTTGATACCATTTATATCGAAACTGTAACCGCTTGCCACCAGTGTGGCAAAATGTACGGAATATGTGTTGTTAATTTTCTTCGAAGGAACAGCCTTCATTCGGCTATACCATGGACATGTCTTACCGCATAACTGCAAATAATATTTTTTGTATGCTTTTTTAAAATATATTTTTCATTCAAAAGGTTGCTTTGGCTAGTTAATGAGGCTGTAATAGATTGGTAGCTAGGTGGTATATGTCTGGTACACAAGTATTTTGTAAGTTGTTGTTGTTGTTATAAGTAGATAACTCAATGCATGCAAATCGAACAAAGTTCTAGAATAAAATGTTGTGTATGTTGGTTATATTTGTTATCGTTGTTTGGATATAAATCAATATATGTATATGTATGTAAGTATCAATAAATGGCATTAACAATATATATAAGGTTAAAACAAACGATTGGCTTTTGGGTTAGTATTTGTTGTAAACAAATGTCGCTACGAAAGTAAAATGCATTACGGATTGAGTTGGGAGCTTTAAAAAAGTCGCCGCCACTGTGGGAACAGTGAGCGTCAACAGTGTGCGGCCACACACAGTCGAAAGCTTTGCGTTGTTCGGCATTTGCATTAGGTTTTTTTGTTTTTTTTTTTTTTTGGCAATCTTCTGCAACTGCGTCCAGGCAAAGCTTTCGTCTTGTGCGACGCCTTTTGGCAATTTCCTTGGTATAAGCCTAAAAATACGTATCGACTTTGGATTGCTTCTTGATTCGGTTGGGTGGTTGTTTTGGTTATTTGGTTATTTGGTTATTTGGTTGGTTGGTTGGTTTATTGCGCTTGCAGGTGAACTAAAAAACAAGTAATTTGGGAGGGTTTCGATTTGAATTGCCTTCAGCTGAAGCGGCAGCGCGCGCGCGAGCGAGCTTTCAGCAAGCTTTTGCGTTAATTTGAGTCAGCGTCAGCAAGAGCAAGAGAAAAAGAGAAAAAGTAAGAGAGAGAGAGAGAGAGAGCGGGAGCGAGAGAGAGAGCGCGCGCATGTTTTCAGTGTGTGGCAAATTGAAAGCTCTTACAACTAGAGAGGTATCCTGTTTGGCGGGGTCTTTACGTGTTTTTTTTTTATTTTTTTTGTTCATTCTTTGTTGGTTATTTTTTGTTGTTAACTTAGCTAACTAATGTTTATCATCGTCATCATCAACATTATCAGCATTAGCTTTGAGCATTTTCTTTGCTTCGTTTTCCGATAAAGGCAACTTAAAACCAAATCGAAATCACAAATCAAAAGTAAAACTAAAAACTGATAGCATAGCATAAAGTAGAGAAATTAGCTAGATAGTTTGATAGAGAGATAGTAGTTTTGACAGATACAGATAGAGATAGAGATAGAGATAGTGAGAGTTAGAGACAGAATAAGTTGGACTTGTGCGCACCTTTCCCCACCAGCGCCATCGCCGAAAAATTGTTCAACGGGGTCCGCCTCCGAGGACGAGCCACGGGAGAGGCCACCGACACCGACACCGACACCGGCACCTCCGACAGAGCGCATCTCGCGCGTAATATCACCAGGCAGCACCTCTTCGCTGCGATGCACCGTGAACGAGTTCTTACCCTTCTTTCCAAAGCCCATACGTCTTTTACGACCTTTGAGTATGGCATTATTTTAGTATGTTTTTGTATTTGTTACGATACCAAATCATGTATTGTTAGTAAAAGGTTAGCATTTATGGTCTATGGTCTATGATTAGTTAGGAAACACAAAAACTTTTAAGTGTGTGAGAAACCAAAGAGGCAGGAATATAGCGCATGATTCAAACACTCGAATGGAATACGACGGCCTACGAATGCTTTGGTTATCTGACATATGTATGTATGCATGGTTATCTGATATGTCGGATAATCTGATAATTGTCAACAAGGCAACTGAACGAGAACTGTAAACGAACGACAGACAACAAAGGTAACAAAATACTCATACCTGTTGCCGACAGCTGCGAGGTGGAGTTCGATTTTTTACCCATCCCGCTGCCACCCTTGGGCGACCGTTCCTGATCCACGGTGCCACATTTCTTTCGATCCGTTGTGTTGTCTGACAGGCTGCCATCTGTGGCTTCATCGAAACAGAATGGAAAACAAATAAAATATGAACTCTTTAAAGAAGTCTCTACTTATTTTATATTGAAGCATCTACTTCTGTAATTTATCATTTAGACGTTTCGATAAATATAATGAAAGAATTAAGAAAAGAGATGCAAGGTTACTCATTCGAGTTATAATAATATGAGTATATAACTCATTTGGGTTAGCAAGAGTCAAATTTAATTTACTGATTCTTAAGTCAAAAAAGTAATAAGAGTCATATGAGTTGCATAATTCTTGAGAGTCCATTGCTCATAATATTTATAAAAGTCCTTAGAGTCATATAAGTAATGAAAGCTTTACAAGTTGTAGAATCAATTCGAGATTAATAAATCATTAGACTCGTATGATTCCTAAGAGTAATAAGAGTTATAAGAGCCATAACTCACATAAGTGTATGAATCTTATGAGCTAGTAAGAATCAAATCACAGATTCATAAGAGTATTAAGAGATTTACAATTACAATTACATAGGAATTATAGCACTTATAAACTTTATATAAAGCGTAGATTTTGAAACAGGTTTTATATTTTTGGGAAGCACACCTCGAAATTGCAGAAGGGCTTTTACAGTCTCTACTCTATAATCGTATGATATATGGTCTAGGTATTTGGGCAATCTACTTACCGACTTTCTCCTCGGTTTCGGCACCACCTTCGACTGACTTGGCGCCGCCGGGCTCATTGGTGCCGTTCTTCTCTTTGTCGTATTCGCTGAAGTCATCGTCAAGCATCGCATCAATCGCATCCCAGTCGATAACATCGAGCGGAGCATCCGCATCCGCGTCCGCATCCGGATCGGCATTGGCGGTTGTTGTTGTTGTTGCGTTTGGTTCATTCGTGTTTTTTGTATTTGTTGTTTTTGTTGTTGTATTTGTGGCAGTTGTTGTAGCAGTCGTTGACGTTGTTAACGTTGTTGTTGTTGTTGTTGTTGTCGTTGTTGCCGCAGCAGCATTCGTTGCATTCGAAGATGTGTTTGTTGTTGTTGTATTTGTGATGAGATTTGTGCATGTATTTGGTGTTTGTTGTTGTTGTTGTTGTGTGGGATTTGTTGATGTTGCGTCATGGGTCAAGTTGTTGGCGTCGTTTGTTGTTGTTGTGGTGTTGTGTGTTGATGATGGGGCACGTTTATTGGGTGATGCATTTGTTGTTGTTATTGGTTGATTAGCGACACCATGATGTTGTTGTGGGGGATTTGCAAAAGAGGAAGAAGAAGCATTATTAGCATTATTACCATCGCAGACGATATTACCAGCAGCGGCAGCTGCGGCAGTTGTTGCACCACCGCTCCCACTACTAGATTTCGTCAGTTGCTCCGATGCCGATGCCATCAATCCGTTCATGGCGATGCCTTCTTTCCCTTTTTGCCTAGCTGATTGTTGTTGTTGTTGTTGCTGTTGTTGTTGGTTGTAGTTGTAGTTGTTGTTGTTGTTGTTGTTGTTGTTGTTGTTGTGACTTTGACTAACACTAACACTACTCGCTGCTTGGCTATTGTGACTGGTGTTGTGGCTACTGTTCTGATTGTGGTTGTATGTACTGTTCTGTGCCCCGCCCCCGCCCCCGACACCGACACCGACACCGTTCCCGACTCCAGCACCTGCCTCCATGGGCGAAAAGTTGTGGGCATTTTGCGCACTGGGTGGCTGCGGCAGATTGCGCCGCCGCTTCATATAGGGCGCCGCCGGACCGTACAGCTTCTGCTGGCTGGTGCGCTGCAGATCAAGGGACATGTGATTGCGTGCATCGGGCCCCCGACGACGCGGGCCCCGAAAGAGCGAGGGTGCTACGCCGCGACGCGTCCAGCCCACATCCGAGTCGTAGGTAATGGTCACGATCTTGTCGTCGGTGACCAGAAAATGCGAGTGACTCAGCGGATTGGCAGCGTCCACATTGGCGCCCATATACGACTGCCGTATGTTCGTCTCGGAGCCGTAGCGACGTGAGCTGGGCAGCTGTCCTTCGCTCGGATAGGTCAGCACCTCATGCGGTGCTACCTCATCCTCGTAACGTATGCGGCGCCGTCCCCAGCTCTTCGTGTGCAGATCGTCATAGTCCAAGGAACGCGACTGACCCTCGTGAAACATGCGGCGTCGCTCCAGTTTGGGTTTCTTCAAAATCGACGTGGGCTGAGCCCGGGCAGTGGCTTCGGCTATGGGCACAGCTGCGACCAGGGCATCCTCGCTGAGCTGGCGAGAGAGCCGCAGCACGGATTGTATGGGCAACGGGGGAGGCGGCGCTAGCTGCGACTTGGCGCGCCGATGAGCCGTCGGAGTGGGCGTGTGCACATGATAGGTTGGCACAATGCCCAGATTGAGCTGCGGCCCGGTTAGGCCACCCAGAAAATGCTGGTCAACGCATTCACCGCACATGGCCGGATCCATGGTGGGCAGCGAGGGTTCCGAGCTGCTCGGCTGGTACATGGACAGGGAGGGGCGGCGCAGCAGCTGCTCGACGCTATAGGGATACGTAATGGGCTGGTGCTGCGGATGGGGATGTGCATCGGCCAGACAGCAGGGATCGGTACAGGCGCCAATGGCCAGGCCGGGCGTGGCCAGGGCCGTGTTCGTGGATAGCACCACGGGCTGGCTGCCATTCTGGCAGTGGCTGCAGCTATTGTCCAGATGATCGCGCACATAGCCCACATAGGAGCTGGGCGAGGAGGAGACTGTGTGCGCATGGCCGTGGTCGTGGGCGGGCGCCGCTGTTGTGGAGCTGCGAAAGAGATTCATGACGGGCGTGGTATAGCGCTTGAATTGCTCAAAGCTGGGCAGCGGCAGCGGCAGCGCATAGGCGTGGCTGTGGGCGTTCGCATGAGTGGTTGCGGTGGCGGTGGCGGGGGCGAGCTGGCGTCCGTTGTGGCGTCGTTGGTAAATGTTGGCAATGTCAGGCGGCGACAGTATGAATGTGGTGGGCAAATGAGGCGAATAGTAGTCGCAATGCGAGTGCGAATGCAAATGTGGTTCGTGTGGTTCTAGCGGCGACGTCTCCTCCGCCACCAGGGCTGGCTCCACGAAAAACTGTTCGACCAGCTCCCCGCTGTTAGTGTCCGTCACAAGCACATGCTGAGTGGGCATTGGCAGTGTTGTTGTCGCTGAAATTGGCGCTGCACCACTGAGCCCCAGCAGGGCCGTATTGGGCGGCGAATCGGCGGCGGCCAGAGCCGCCAACTGCTGCAGCTGCTCCAACTGCTCCAGCAGCAATAGCTGCTGTGTGCCGCCGCTTGACAGATAGTCGCAGTCATCCACCTCGATTGTGTTGGCGCGATGGTGCTCAGCGGGGTACACCTTTAGGCCAGTCACAGGGCCGCCCAAGGCGCCGCTTAGTAAGCTATTTTGGGCGCCGAAAAGATTGCGCCAGTTGCGTGAAAAGCTGACGGATATTTTTGGTATCGGTAGCCATAGGTGGGTCAATGTGGTTCAGTGTTGGGTAAGAGTTCGTTGTTTTGATTTGAGGTTTGTTTATTTTTTTTGTTGGGTGTGTTGGGTAAGAGTTCGTTGTTTGTTTTGGGGTTTGATTATTTTTTTTGTTCGTTTTCACATGCAATGTTAACGTGCAGAAGACAGCCCAGTGCGCGTGGTGGGTTTGTGGTAGTGGTCGTGGTGGTGGTGGTGGTGGTGGTGATGGTGAATTCGATTTTATTGGGTTTGTGACAAATAACGAACAATCGTTGGCAAATGCAAGCGATGGTTGGCGTCCGAGGTCAGCGAGTGTTGTTTGTGGTGAGTTCCGTTTTGTTGGATTCGAGTGGTGAGTTGATATTGTTGTGGTGTGAGAGTGTCGTGAAGAGCACGCAAGAGAAGCAGTGAACACAAAAGAGAGAGCAGCGCGCGTCGAACGTTGAGCGATTTTTGTTTATTGCATTTTGTTATCAAGTTTTTGTTGATTGGTTTCCAAAAAAAAATAAACAAAAAGTAAATGCAGAAAAGAAACTTTATGCTTTTCGGATTACCTTACTTTCGTTAGCTGTTGAGTATGGTAATCAAAGTGTGTGTTTGTTTGGGTGTATGTGTGTGTGTGTGCGTAGTGTTGAGTTTGATGTTCGCTTGTGTCAAAAATAATGCGGTAAGCGCGATCTTCTGATTCGGTTTTGCAACTGATTCAGAGCCTAATTGACGGGGAAATTTTGGATTTTATAGCTACTACTGGAAATTTGGTACCAATTTGTGTGTATAGCCCAGAACGTAATTTCAGCGTAATTTTGACAGCTTTGCTTTGGCATGGCTTGGCGACTATAACGAAGCGGACGCGGCTGCTGCACGAGTTCATGCTCGGCCAACTCACCTGAGTCCGCGTGAGGTGCGCGGTCGCTCCGATTGCGTGGAAAAAGCACTTGACGTCACACTGACCACCGACTCCATATCCGAGTCACCGAATTCGGCCATAAAGTCCTTGTCCGGCGACAACGAGTGCCGTGGCCGCATACGCGTATCCATCGATTGCAGATCACTGTCCGACAGTCCTGTGTAGTGTCGCTCCCAGCCACCCATGCCGGTGCTGCGATACGTAGCCTGATGGTGCGGCTGTCGTGTGCGGTGTCGACCAAAGCGGCTGCCCGAGGCCAGACGCTCGTCAAAGTCCTGGCCCAGTCGATCGCGCAACATGGCGCTGCGAGAGGTCTGCGGCACCTGATTGAAAAAATGATATTAACTAAGTTATATCCACTTGGTAACTTCGAATATTAATTAGTATTTAACTAACGCTAACAGCTTTAAGAAGCAAAACTGTTGTTTCTTCTCCTGAAGATTCTTCCTTATTATCAAAGCTTTGGCTTTAAAGAAGATTAGAAATGATTCTTTTATAACTCATGCTCTAAAAAAGAAGTCTAATACCGCTGTTTTTTCCAACAAGGAATGCTTATTGTCTTTTAAGAAAATGTCTTTGAACCAAATATGGATAAAAAAGATTTATTAAAAGTTGGGACAATAGATTCACGTGAAGATTTTCCTGAGCTTCAGTTCCCAATGAAAACAGGCTACTCAAGTTTTCTCACTGAATTCTAAAGTTTCACCTCGAGGATAGAGAAAATGCCCAATACAAAATACTCCTTGGCTGTTGATTAAAGAGCACTACGACAAATGCAAAATTTGAAAAAATTATAAAATCCGCAAGAATCGAGCTGTTCTGAGCGCGAATTAATCAAATCTAATCCAAATTAAATCCTGATCTTTCAATCCCCAATAAAGTCTGTGAAATAACCAAATCTAATCCAATTTGAATCCTGACTGATCAATCCCCAATCCCCAGTCTGTGAAATTGACTCGAATTAATCAGCTTGAATCTTTGACTTACCTGTGGCAGTTGCCGCTTCTTGGGCGAACCAGTGGGCGTGGCAGTCGCGGAGCGCGACTGAAAACGGTGTTGCTGTGCCGCCGCAGCTGCGCTGCCGCCGCTTGCGTACGCTGCGGCGTTGGGTGAACCGTGTATTGGAAGCACTGGATAGTCAATATAACGGTCGTCTGGCGGCGACAACGATCCTCGCCGTGGACTGCTGCTTCTGTAGCCGTAGCCGGAGCCGGGATGTCCTTGGTGTACACCGCCTCCGCTGCCTCCTACACTATGGTAGTTGTCACTGGGAGCTGCCGAGTGGCTGCGCTGGCTCAGGCTCATGCCACCAGGTCCGATGGCGGCGCCGACACCATTACCAACGCCGCGTCGATAATAGCCCGTGGCAGATGCCTGCTTGGGCCGCGAAAGAGCAAAGAAAACGAGGCATACTTTAGTTGGGAGGGCTACAAATGCGAGAAGCTTCAGGCTTTTGCCGGTTCATAGCCGGCTCTGGAGTCCAACAGGCACGACCGCTTATGGGCTAGTATATGTGGTATTGAAATTCATTCAAGTTAATTAGAGTGTGTATGTGTATGTGTGTGTCGGTGTGTTTGTGTGTGTGTGTGAGTTTGTGTGTGTGTGTGTGTGTGTGGATTGGTTAACTGTTACTGCAACTTCTACTGGAACACGGAAAATGAGCAAAGATACGGAGTTAATTACAGTTAAGTAGTAAAGGCAAACGGAATATTGTATACTTAGCAAGTTTTTAAACAAAATCAATTTAACAACATGGAAACAAAGCTCCGATCAGCTGGAACAAAGCAAATGCTCTGTTTGGCAGCTGATAAAAGCATCGCACTTATATTTATAAAATAGTTGAAGGTTTACAATTAGTTGAGTTAGTTTTTGAGTAGAGTGGCAAAAATTCTGTATTAAGAAAGTGCAGTAAATTGTAGGCCTAGTTAATTAGAAATAGCTAAACGGTCTGAGAGCGGGAAATGATTACGAATAAGATATATATATATATGCTTTATGAATGCGGAACACTGAAGGAGCTTCTAGTATTATGAGATGAACTGGGCACTTTCTTGCCAATTTGCCAATTTCCGGCTGAGATCGTTGTTGTTTGGACCTTTTTGGTCCTGCTAGTGTTTACCTATTTGTAGTGCTGTCTGTTCTGATTTTGGAATGTTACGTTAATTTAGCATATAGGTGCAAACCTGATTATGATAACTTTGTCCAATGCCAGATACTGTGCGATAATCTCGGGCCACCATGCCGGCCACCCGTTTGCGGCCCTGGGGTGACATGTCACGTCTGGAGCGACGCTCGTTTAGTTCGAGCTGAATTATGTGAGTTGACATTTTTGGATTAGGGATTAGTGGGTGTTGTTTACAAAGGAAGTTTTGAGGTAGCATATGTTGGATATATCCGGCGCATAATCAACGAGGAGTGTGTTTGTGTATGTAAAATGTAAAGAGCAAGAGAACAAGAGGAGAGAATGTACATTTATGATCAAAATGAGAGAAATGTATATCAAATGTGTATTAGCATAGCTTCATGTTAACTCTTAGAGTCTTTGTATATATACTATAGAATAGAGTGTAAACTGGCGGGTCAGTTGGCTCAAATGGATCGCTAAGTGGGTGTAGTTCTATGTCTAACTGTAGGGTGTATTATGGGATAGATTATTACAAACAGAAATCATAATGCAACTACACATTTAAGCTAGACACTTAGATTCACAAAGAGAAGCATGAGGTTTTCTTTGCTGAAAGGAAAAGCGATAGACATGCAAAAAGCGGGCTTAAAGACTAAATGCTCAAGGTGCAGCTGGTAAAAATATTTGTTTCTTGGTGATTTGTTGCAAAGTTAGGTTTAGAGATTTTCAGTTTTTTCTTTAGCTATAGTATAACCGCCCATTTTGGCAGTTGACAGTTTTAAGCAGTTAGTATGTGTTCTCAAGTTTTAAAGTTTACACGGTTTCTTAACCTAAACCATTTTGCTTAAAAGACTTAAACTCTAGATATGATTACTTTGATCTTATATGCAAAGATTGTTGTTAGCTGAAACTTGATGCTTAAGTTAAATAATAACAAACAAAAATGAAGAAGAGAACGACGGCGTTGAATGTTCCTTCAGCGTAGAAACTTCAAACACCTCGCGCTGTTGTTGGATTAGTTTTGCTTTTGGTTTAGTACAAAGATAGAGCTGCGAGTTTAGAGTTCAGAGTTCAGAGTTCAGAAATAAGAGCTTAGAGAGAGAAAAATTTAACACACAAACAACGAAACAACGACACCAATTATTAAAAAAGGGTACAAATAAAAATGAAAATGAAATGAAATTAGAGAACATTAAACAAAAATTACTTTATACAGTTTCCAAATCTGTGCAAATATATGTACACTGAATGGTTTCAGAATGCGTATGTGATCTAATCTGAGGGAATGAGTTCTGGGATGTTGAATTTCGCCAGCATGCAAAGTAACTGACAGGAACAGCAATGAAGCCTTCAGGCGGCAAATGCCATGAAACTCGACAATGGGGCGTATGCGTGATGTATGCATGTGAAGCCTGACAAACTGGCCAGCCAAATAGCTGGCGAGCTGGCCTGAGGATGCTCTGATTGTGAGATTAGAGACACATTTAGGAAAAAAGAATGCACGCACACTATAAGAAAACAAGAAAACGAGTAGAATTCAGTGTATGTTAAAGGGGGACAAAGAACATTTGGTCGACTCACGATATCGAAATACACTTGCAGAGGGTTATGTCAAAGACAATGTCAATATGAATTGTATTTATATAATCTTTGGTTAAATACTTATAAGCTCTAATAATATTAATGTAAATCCGTTTAATTTTTATTTTATATTTTATATAAAATACAATTTTTATAATATATTAAATATATCATAAGAAGAAAAACAATTACATAAAAAATGAAATTTAAATAGTTTTCTTTTTTTTTTTGTTCTCTTATCTATTTGATATTTTCTATGGCAAAAAAACTTTTTTTTTTGTACTCAACGTTTTTTCGACCTTGTTAATTAACAATTTTTTGCACTCAAAATATTTTATACCTTGCTCAAAAATCCAAATCATTTTCTACGATTACTGACGAAAGTGATTCGATACAAGATTATTGAGAAGAAATACAATTAAATATCTTGATATTAAATAGAACATGTGGAAAAGAAACTATTTAAATATAAAAAATGTATAAACCAATTAAGTAAATTAATAGTCTCTAACAAAATTCTCTGCAAGTGTATGGAAAAATGGACGAAACTGTTGTGACGCTTTCTTGCGGAGAGCGAGAGCGAGAGAGAGAGCGAGAGAGAGAGCGAGAGCGAGAGAGCGAGAGAGTGAGCAAGGCGGGGTGTACACTTTTGTGTGGTTGTGGTTCCTGTGTGTGTTAAAGCTTGTTGAAGTGCCCCTGAAAGAGGCAAGTTGCGATTGTCTGTCTGTGTGTGTGTGTGTGTGTGTGTGTATGCATGTGTGTGTGTGACCCTTTATGCGTCCTCACTCTTGTTGCTGTCAGTTCTTGTTGCATTTACTCTATGTATATGTATGTGTGGCTCGTTGGTAAATGTATATATATGTACATATTTATGTACATAAATAATATATATATTTTCATTTAATTTTGTAGTTCTTGTTGTTAAGTGACACTCAATGTGTATGGTTGTTGTTGTTGTTGTTGTTGTTGTTGTTGTTGTTGATAGTGGTGGTGTTGTTGTTACCTCGAGCAGTGGCGGGCTGGTGGAACTGCCCATAGATGATATGCTGGCGCCGGGCGTCGTTCCATCGATGTCGCATTCGGACGTTGTGTCCGAGTCGCTCAGACGCGACATCGTGCTGGGCGGTGATAAATGATCTGTGGGTGTCAGTATCAGGCCGTCCACATCGCTGCCCTCGTCACGTAACTGTTCATCGTAGTTTTAGTTGTTGTTGTTATTGTTGTTGTTAATAATTTTATTGTTGTTGTTGTTGTCATAAATTTTGAGTTGAAATGTATTGGAATGGAACAGAACGGAACGGAGCGAGCGAGAGCACGTTTTGTTCAAGATGATATTGTAAGTTTTATGTAGTTTTATGTAGTTGTTGTTGTTGTTGTTGTGTGATTGTTGGTAGGTGGTCGTTTGGAAGTTGGTGTTTATTTTCATTATATTTGTTGCGGGTGCACGACAAAAACAAAAGATATGGCAATGCTGGGTTAATAATTTTGTTTCATTGAACGGCTGCGGGGTATAAACATTACATCTAGAATACCAAAACGCAAAGTCGTGATCATCAAACAGACAATGAATAAAATAAAATAAAATAAAATAAAAGAACAAAAATAAAAATAAAATTAAAAAAAAAAAAAAAACAAGAAATAAACAAAAGTAAAATTTGCTGATTTTCAGTTTTGTGTTAAGTTTTTCGCTCAACAAACCTCGTTCCGGGGAGCTTAGAAAACCTCAACAGGGTTTCACGTTTACCAACACCAACATTTAGTTAAGAACGAACACAACGAAATGAACCGAAACGGAATGAAACATAAAACGAAAACGGAATGAAAACGAAACGATAAGTGAAACGAAATAAAAGCTTGCGATTTCCCTGGACAAGACATACGAGATGGGAGGCATCCTGATGCGGCTGCAGCTGATACCATTCGGCCTCGTCGTCGAGTATGTGATGGGCCAGATCAATGACCACCTCGCCGATGAAGTCGTTGGCGCCATAGCGCACATAGTCCCAGAGCGTGACCTATGGAAGGATCAAAATGTATTTATATTGCGGATGAATACAGGAGGCTCAATAGTATAGGTAGGTATTTTCAGTAAGAGGATCAGTTTAAACATGTAAAGACCAATATTTATAAAAGGATCCGTTTTGGGATCAACAACGAACTTTTATAAAAAGGATAAACAGGAATACGAAATCGAATCGAAAGAAGAATAAGAAGGGAATATTTTGAAGATCAAATTATAAGAGAATTAATTCACGGATCAATTGGAGAATTAGTGGGAACCAATTTGAGAAGCAATTGGTAAATCATCTGTATGATCTATTAAAGGAACTACTTAAATGTACTTTGAAAGATCAACAAGAGAAGATCAGTAGAGGATCAATAGAAGGGACTAATTGGAGGATCGTTGGAACAATCAATAAAAGGTTGTAAAGCAGACGTACCTCGAGCAGTCGACCATTAAGATCGCAACGTCGCAGACCCGAGTATAGAAACGTCTGGCCCCAGCGTGGTTCGCAGGTGGTGCCGACGGTTTTCGTTCGTCTTTTTGATTTTTGGCTGCGATCGGGCAGAAGGAACACCTGCAATCATTTGAGTCATTAGCATTTCCGAACTTCCATTCGTATCACCTGCAGTTCACTCACTTTTGCATAGGGATTGCGCCCGGCGCCGCTCTGACGCAGCGACAGACCCGTAGCGCACACCAGCGTCACGATCAGCTGCAACGTATTCTGATCGTAGCCCAGCTTTAGCTGCAGCCGCCCCTCGACGGGTATGGGCTGTGTGGTTACGCCCATGCCATGATGCGGCACATGCGAGTGGGTAATCGCGTGCGAATATGAATGCGGTTGCGAGTGCGGATGCGCGTGCGAATGCGCGTGCGATGGCGGTGATGCCGCTGACGGATAGCAATGATGGTGGTGGCCTGCCGTCGTTGTGCTGTGCTGGCCGCCCGAGGCGGCGGCGGCGGCGGCGGCGGCTGCGGCGACGGCGGCTTGTAGGGTGGCGCTGCTGGTGCTGCTGCTGCCGCTGCTGCTGTGGCTGTAACTGGCCTCCAGACGCTGTGCCTGCTGCGCGGAGCTGCAAGTGCCAGCGCCACGGTGCCGTAGTCCGTTGCCCGAACCACTAATCAGCAGATCCGGTGAGCCGGGCGACGTGATCAGAACGCTCGGTTTCTCGCGTTGTAGTTCGAGCGCCTCGATGCCGGGTGCTGCAGAATACAATACAGAAGAATATATATATATAAAGTACATATAGCGTAAGGAACAAGTTAAATTGCATTTAATTTGATTTGGTATTCTGCTGTTTTGTTTGCTGTGTGGCTTAGACATACACCGTACTGCTGGTTGAACATATGGAGATCTGGGTAAATGAAGTGGCCAGGATGAAGAGTGGCATGGCCTGATCAACAGGCCTGGCCTGGACAAGATAACAAGGATGACTTTCTATCTAGAATATTATAGCTCTTTAAAACCTTGTCCATTTGACAAGGCGTGGCCCCAACACTTACCCTACCCGCCTTGTTATGGCCAATATTGCTCGCCGATTCCTCGCATACTCAATACAAAAAAAATATTATAGCTCTTGCACTGACACACACACACGCACACTAACACATACATACAGCCTGCCCACCGTCAGTGTATCTACCTTTGCGCTGGATGTAACGCCCTCCGCTGCTGACGACCGCGCTGCCAGCCATGCTGCTGGCCAGACCGCTGTGCGGAAAGTTGGCCGAGGAGCGGCGCGTGATGCTGCTGCCGGAGCCGGAGCAGGCGCTGCTGGGGCTGACGTTGCTGCTGCTGCCGCCGCTGTCGACGCTGCTGGCGCCGGTGGGTAGCAGCAACGGTCGGCAGACAACCAATTCCACTTGGGCATCCAGTCGACTGTCGTCGATGATATCGTAAACCTCATCCGCACTCCTATTGTGCAGGCTGTGTCTGTTCCATTCGATGATCTCGTCGCCTGCAGCGTTCAAACGATCGTTCAATGAGTTCGTGTTGTTGTGAATGAATCGAGGACAGAGAGAGACAGAGAAATAAAGAGAGAGAGAGAGAGAGAGAGATAGAGAGAGAGAGAGAGAGATGATGAAAGAGATGTGCGAATGTTAATGTTGGCGTGATTCGAATCTTTACCTGGTCGTATGCAGCCTTCGAGATCGGCAACCGAACCCCGTTTCACCTTCTCCACAATGGCGCCGCATGGGCCCTCAATGCCGATGGGCTGACCGCCGTTCACCTTTAAGCCTAATATATCTTCCCCATCATAGTATTTACGTAATATCATGTGACCAATCATGCGCGTATTATCCGCGGATGTGTGCCAATTCACCGGATTCTATAGATACACACGACAGTATGTACACGCAGTGCGGATGGACGGTACGGATGGTGTTGGATGGTGTTGGATGATGGGCGGATCGAACGGGTGTCGGGGTGAGATCGTGGATGTTAATTTTGCATAGATTTTGAGATAGTTTTTTGAGTTTGTTTGGTTTTTGATTTAGATTTGGGTGTAGCGTGATGTCGATGTTCGTATGCAGGAAGTAGAATGGTTTATAGTTTTAGATTTGCACCACACAAAAGTCTTATAGATAGCTTAGATCTAAGAACTTACAGTTAGGCAAAAAAAAAAAAAAAAACAAATTTGATTAACAACAATTGAAAACAATATTTGAAACACATTTTGTACATTTAGTTTTTACATTCAGTTCAGTTTTTCTTACGAACTAGAAACATTTGCTACGGTAGGCTGTTTGGATATTTTATATAGATAGTATATAGAATAGTTATCATTCACATTTCGAGTTGCGTTGAGTTTAGCATTAAAAGACCTACTTTGAGAACACACACTTAGTTTCGATTAGAGCATTAATATTAATTGAAAATCTTTTCGAACTCGGAAATGCTTTAAAATGTGTTAGCGTTAGAATACAACATTTAAAGATCATGCGATAAAAGGCGTGCTAAGTATTATATGGCAGGTGTGGGTATTGGCTACTTGGCTACTAATTTGGTTCAATAGTTGTGGGAGTGATCTGGAACTGGAACTGGAACTGGAACTAAGAGCGTGCTTGTCGGGTGTTTGGCTTAATAGTACGGTCCTCATGCAAAAGCCAGTTACAACAGTGAGCAAACAGTTATTGGAAATTGTAGAATTGGTATATGTTTAAGCATGCGATTGTATGTTTAGTTGTTGGTACTGTAAATGGCTGAAATCGGTGGCTTAATAGATTTTCGAGTTGGGAGACAGATCTCTGGCCTACAAGGTATGCAAACTGAAAAGTGGGTTAAGAGACTGCTAGCGCTATACAGACGATAAATGTGAAAGGCTTTAGTTTTCGGTTAGACGATCGAGTTGAAGACATGACAAGAACAACAAACAGATCTTAAGAGAGACAGAGAGATAGAGAGAGAGAGATAGAGAGAGAGAGAGATAGAGAAAGAGAGCGAGAGAGGGTGTAGAGAAAGAGATAGATATTTATAAAAAGAGACTGATTGGCTGCGGAGTTTTTAGTATCATATACTACAGTTGAGACAGACAGACAGCAATTTCTGGGGACCACATAGAACACACTCAGACTCTACACAGACACAATGCAACGGGTGGAAGCCCTGCTTCAGGGGATTGGGATTGGGTTGTCTTTTTTTTGGGCGCTTTGTTTGCCTGCGTCTGGTGCTGCTGGCGTGTACCTTGGGGCCTTCGCCGCGGTTCGAATCCTCGCTGCTGGTGAATGTGCTGCTCGTATCAATGCCTGAGTCTTTGGTGGCCGAGTCCTGGCTACCCTGACGCTCGGCATCCCAGCGCGACCAGTCGCCGTCCAGTGGCTGGGCCAGCTTTGCGCTGGTCAGCAGCGTAGCCGCGCCCACATCCACGGCCGTCGACGGCAGTATTGTGGTCACCGGTGGCAGTGTGCCCGTACCGCCGCTAGTTGCCGGCAGAAGTGACTCATCGTCGTGGGCATCGAAGCGCACAGTTTTCTTTATTCTGCGTTCGGTGAAACGGCGTGAATCCTGCGCCGCCGATGATGAGGATGTACTGCCACCAGCCGGCTCATCCCAGTAGGCGGCTTCCGTGGAGCTGAGGGAGCTGCTGCCGCCGCCACCGCCAGCGCCAGCGCCAAGCAGGCCGCGCTCCCGGCTCAGGTTGCCCCTGGCGCCGTCAGCTGTGGCCGACATGGCGCCACGCTCATAGGCAGTGCCCGTGCCTGCACCCGCGCCGATTACAATCTGCGGCCTGCTGTGGCCCTGCGGATAGTAGCTGCTGCTGGTGCTGCTGCTGCTGCTGCCTTGGTAACCGTTCGCCGCGGACAAGGGCGGAGCGCGACGGAAGGCACCACTACCGACACCGACACCGACACCGAGACCAGAAGCAGCACCAGGTCCGACAGCAGCTCCGCCAGCTGCAGGCGCTCGCTCGTGATTGCTTCGATTGAGCGAGTTGCGCTGCTGCACGTCCAGACGCGCTGTCCTCGTCAGCGGATACTGTTCCAGGCGCTCGCGATGCTGCAGCTGCAGCTCGTAGCGATCTCGCTGATCCGCCGATGCGTACAGTCGCTGATTCGTGTGTCCCAGCAGACGAAAGTCAGTCGAACTGTACGAGCCGCCGACTGTGAGTAGATCGCGCTCGTTGAGGCTGCGCTGCTGGCGCCAGGGATCCGTGCGCACCTGTAGACGCCCGCCTGTAGATGTAGGATGTACTAGTAATGGTTGGCATATACTCTTTGGCTATGTGGGTGGGTGGTTGGTCTATTGGGGTGTTAGTACTTAATTCGGGTAGGTTAAGACACTAATTTGTAATTTTCTGGTTTCTCAATTGCTCGGTTTTTCTTTAACTTTCTTGACGCATTCGCTGTGGCTGCTTGCCTGACATTAGTTTGTTGTCCTTTTACCAAATTTTCGGCGCAATTTTAACAATTGTTTTGGTAAATATATACAAAACTTTGCATAATGTTGGTGTCGTTATTGTTTGTTGTTCATAAAGCAAAAAAGTAAAATATATATAAATATATATATATACATCATTTAAATGAAATAATAAAGACTTATGTATGTACGATTAGATGTGGGAACTATTGTCAGCATTAACCAGAACCAGAGCACGGGGGTCAACTTTGAAGATCGACATTCTACACATTTAGTTCCAGCTTACAACCGGATCCTAGCTGATCACCCTGGATCCCCCAACTTTCGCAATACTCAGCTAATGCTGAGAATAGAATCCCAAATAGAGTTGTAAAGATAGTGTATAAAATGGGCTTGAGATGTTATTATGTATGTATGTAGTTAGGGGTATTTATTTATTTTAAGTAGACCTACGTTTGAGAGAGCTGTAGAGGGTGCCAAGGCTACAAAGCATATGAAGATCACAAAAGATCGGAAACTTGGCAAACGGTTCTACGACTCTAAGACCTAGCAAATAATTTATATATGTGTCTATATACGTGTACTTTTAAAATAGTGTTTTTTTAAAGGTGCTGGGGTTTGTATATACATAGAAGAACATGCCAGACAAGGCAAGAATGGGGTATCATTGTGCCTGGGACTTGGATATATAGTTTAATATATCGAATGTCTAGAATACCATACTTATCTGTGTTGGCTAAAAGATGTTAAGACATTATATTGTTTAGAGCTTAGTACAATTCAGATTTTTGCATAGGTTGGGCCTTAAATCAACTACGGTTGGCTTGATCGGATGGAGTGAGGGGGAGCAGGAGCTGTGGCTATGTGTAAATCTAATCTGTTAAGTGAGCTTGTGAAGCGTGTTGGGAGTTTAGAGTTCAGAGTATCATTGTGTTGTTGTTTTTGAAGTTGAAGGAGGAAACAGGAAACAGCGTTACGATATCCATGCAAATTCTTCACGTAGTTTGTTTTTTCTTTTTTGTATTTTTTTGTTTGTTATATACATTTACAAGTAATTTAAAGAAAATTAATTGAAACTGGTAAAAAGAAACGCAAGAAGAATACAGAAAATTAATGTGTGTACACAGCGCAACGAGCGAAATTGTGAAGGAGTGGGGTTTCCAAAAACGTGGGGTGTGAAGAGGGGATTTTTTTAAAGCAACAAAAGAAACGGTAGCAAAGTGCCATAGAAGAAGACGCCTCTATGCGCTTCTCACACTGAGCACTCCGCACTCACACACAAACATTGAATAACAAAAATGCAGAATAAAGTCTAAAGAGGAGTGTGGACTGTAGAAAGTGCTCAAACGAACGAAAGTATTGGATGGAGAGAGAGACAAAGAGAGAGAGACAGAGACAGAGACGACATTGACTGTAAAATGTACATTCCATTGTGTGGCTTTCACAAATCATAAGAAAACGATAACATAAAGTACACACGCAGTAAAAATGGATTAAAATTTAAATTTTCATTTGATTTTTTCATTGTTGTTGTTTTTTGTTCTTTGCTTACATTTGCATGAATCTGTAGATCGCCGGGCGAGAGATTTGTTTGGACACTTTGCACGACGCCAAAATTACCTGCTGTTGTTATTGTTGTAGTTGGTATTATTGCAACATATTTTTTGGTTTCAATTTGCAAAATAGTTTGTGACGGGTGGGCAGGTTTTTGAATAATTGTTATAAACATTTTTTGGTTTGAGTGGATTAACAAATAGAAAGAGAGAGTGGAAAAAATATATTTATATAATATAAACAATAATCGTGGGACATTGATATGGCATTAGGTTATTGTGATCGCTCTACTTAGCTTTATTTAGACTCTGAAGTAACTTAACTAGCTTACAACTTACGACTAATATTGGTTTATGAGTTCGAATGCCTTCATACATATATCTGTCGTATATCTATATAGTATATAGTATATCTATAGTCGAGCGTGCACTTATAAGCGCCTATTAATCAATTTAGTACGTGTTTAATCAAGCGTTCTTATAGTTATTTTAGCTTTTACTAGAGCATAATTTGTTTAGCTGTAAGCTGTGGGTAGAATGTTTATTGTATAAAAAACGCACTGCGTCCATTTCTTAAACTTGGCACACACACACACACATTTACAGGTCGCCTCAAAACTAGTTTCACGCAGTACAAACACACAAACACACACACACACACACACAATCAATTGTCCTCCCATTGTGGGCCATACCCCTGGCATACTTTCTTTTGACTTTGGTCACGATATAAAACGTTTATTGTGCTCGTAACCACGACAAAATAACGCAGAAACAAAAAAAAGATATATATATATATATACAAAGATATGGCAAAAAAAAAAACAAAAAAACAGCAATGAGAAACGACAACAACGACGACGGCGTTTTAGTGTAAACAAAAGAACTCACGAAAACAAAACAAAGCACAACTAAAGTAAATTACACAGTCCTACAAATATTTTTAAAGTATTTTTTCCTTAGTCCCTGAGTGTGACCAGCAAATCAAATAAAACAGTGTTGGAAAGATTGAAAGGCTTTAAAATATTGGAATTCACAATTATTTGGCATATATATTTAAAAATTTTGGGTGAAAACTTGAAGAATTTTGACTTTGACAAAGATCTATAAATATAAATATAAATCTATTTGGAGAGTAATTTTGAATAAATAGATTTAGATCAAAACCGGCTCTATTTAATTTGTAGATAAATAATACCTAGATGTTTCCTTATACTAATAAAAATGAATTCAAATTTTCGTATATGTATTGACCTATATATTAATTGAAAAACATTCTGACACAAATAATTCCGGTGCTATAATTGAAACTGAAATTGTTTAAAAATAAAATTCAATAGTAGAGCAGTCCCATCTAGTTATATTGCCAAACCATTATATTATATCTATCTATTAATTAAGAAAGAGAAAAAAACCTAGATTCGTCGTTGTTGTAGCACAGTGTTGTTTGAAAGTCAAATGCCGAAATTCACGCACAATTGCAGCAGGTGGAGACGGCAGCAGAGACAGCGACAGTGGGAGCGTGAACGAGACGGAGCGAGAGAAGTAGAGAAGCGGCGCCCAAGACGAACAAGAAAAGAAGGCGCAAAAGATGGCAAAAATCAATAAAGTGTACAAAAACACGGACGCTCGGCTGCCTTTGTTGTGTGTGTGTGTGTGCGTGTGCACTTGTATGTGTATGTATGCCTAGCTTCGCACAATCATCGCCAAACGCACAACAAGCAAGCAAGAGCGCTTTTGTCGGGAGTGCCCGACTGGGGGATACCCTAAAAATTCTTCTGCCAAACCAAAGACATAAAAATTAACTTAAAAAAGTAGCAATAAAATGATCTGTTTATACTATTCCAGAAGCTACATTTCAAATTTGTTGTGGCTTTAGTTCTTAAAACCTACGAATATTTGCTCGATAAGCAGGATTTCGACATCGATTTTTATCGATTGCTTGGGAACGGAGAAAGTTATCGATTATCGGAAACAGAACGTTCAAAATGTCAAGTCCTTAGCCATTATAGGTTCTAAGGCAGACAGACGGACATTGCTAAATCGACTCTGTTATGTTAAAGAAGAATATAAATACTTTATGGGGTGCTTCCTTCTGCCTGTTACCTACACTTGCACGACACCAATATACCCTTGATATCCATTTTCAATAGGTTCAGGGTACAAAAAGATGCCGAAATCAAACAAACTTCGTCTCAGTTTGCTTTTGTGTGTTTGTGTGCTTCGAGTGTGCGTGTGTGTGTGTGGGGGGTGGTGTGTGTGCCACTCTTGCTTCCTGTTTTATATTCTTGTTCATAAATTGTAGCCAGTTGCCTGAGAGCGCGGCAGAGATCTGGGAGTGGGCGGATGGATTCGGTGGGCGGGCCGGCTGCGAGGTGTTTGGGCATTGCGGCTGGCAAAAGCACAGCAGGCGAGAACAGCTTGTGCTATTTTTAAAACAGCAGGCAACACGCACACACACACACACACACACACACACACACACAGACACACACACATATACCTACGCACGTGCACAGACAGACGCAGGCGCATAAATAGCACGAACAACAACAACGACCAGAAACACGCACAAAATGCGTTGGTGTTGTTCGTGTTGTCCCAGCGCCTGGCCAGCCTTCATGTTCGCATTAATGTCACTCATACGCACAGTTGCACATGCACACACACACACACACACACACGCACACACAAGCACAGTTTGCTGTTGGCGTGTCGGTCAACATTTTAATTAAATTCGTCTCGATCCCACGGCTGCATTGGTTCGCATATTTTAATAGGCTGGTCAACAGCACCCACACACACACGCACACCCACACACCCACACACCCACACACACACGCACACCTACTCCGCATGTGGTCTATATTTATTTACTTATTTACAGCCTTGCCACCATATGCGACATGTTTCGCGTTTTGGCTGCCCTTTGTGGCTGTCATTTGGCCAGTTGCTTATTTGGTTATTGATTTCGCTTTATTCATGAATTAAACTTGGCTCCCACAAAAAATAAAAAAAAAGGTGGCAAACTTTTTTTGCGCGCTAATCGAAATGCAAATAAACACAAAAACACAAAGGACTTTTTTGGATGGCAAATGATGTGTTGGCAGTTGCACAAGCGTTTTTTGATTTGACATTTGAGGCCACAGTTTTCAATACCATTGCAAAAGGTTGATCGAATGTAAACGAGTATATAATTTTTATGGTATATCATCTATTGTTAATCTATTTAAAACTAACATAATTTTATTTTTAAAATCGGT